TGAAGCTATGCATCAAGGCACTGAGAAGCTGCAGGCAGTCCCAGAGGTGCCACATGATGGGACAGTGACCTGAGCTGGGGACAGAACTGCAGGGATCACACAGGTAGGGTCAGTCCTCAGGGCTTTATTGTCCTCTGTGCTCAGTGTGTTGCATCTTAACCCTCCTCAGCCATCAGGAGATCATGAAAGGCCAGGCTGCATGGGACCCTGAGCAACCTGGTCTGGTAGAAGGTGTCCCAGCCCATAGCAGGGGGTGGACCAAGATATCTTTAAGGTCCCTCCAACCCAAACCAGTCTGTGATTCTCAGAGACATCTGCACCCTTCTCCCCATCAGACGGCCCCAACATCCCCCCTCGTTCTCTGGGCAATGGACACCAGGGACCACTCCCATGTCCTTCTGCCCCAGGAAGCCCCAGCTGGGGCGCAGGGGCACAGACAGGAGCATGCAGCTGTGGGGAGGGGGCTGTGCACACCTGGATTGGCCTCCTGACCCAGGGATTCTTGAGGCGTGACTCTGCACTGGGCTAGACATCTGAGCTGGCCTGGCCCCGGGAGCAGATGCCCACTGCCGGGACTGGTACAGCTTCCTGGCCAGATCCTGCTCGTACTGTTTAATACTGTCTTCAAGAGCTGAGGATCTGAGGAGGAGGAGGAGGAGGAGAAGGAAGAGGAGGAGGAAAAGGAAGAGGAGGAAGAGGAGATGATGGTGATGAACATCGCAGCGGACAAGCGCAGGGAAAGAAAGAAACAGATACAGGAACATACCCTGGTGAGGGGAAATATGGGTCTGACACAAGGGCAGCCTTGGTTAAACTGAGCTCCAGATCTGATCCTGCTCAACCTTGGCCACTGTCAAGGCAGCAGGAACCCCCAGGGGCAATCTGGCAGCGTGCCTAGGAGCATCAGGCTCAGAGGCCCCACATCCAGAGCTGCCCTCCCCCTGGGCTGGGAGGAGACTGGGAACACCTTCAGACCCCCGGGAAAGGCTGTGAGGCAGTCACAGAGTGTGTGAGTGTGTCAGACTGAGGGGTGTGGGCAGGGGAGGGTGTGTGCCACACACGGGATGGTCTCTCAGTGTACACCTGCACAGGTACCTGATTCACCTGTTCCAGGCACCTTTGTTGGACCATAGAAAAGAGGAACAATATGGCTAAGCACGTGACACATGGTGTTTGCCCTGGGACACGTGTCACTGAGGGGTGAGTCCCTAAACCAGTGCGTGTGTGGGAGGAAAACTGCCAAAATGCTCATAGCCCTGGCTGGGCACCTGCCCCTCAGCTTGTACCTGTGCCTCTGGACCTCACTGTTCCCATGGCTCGAGGGCCAGGACAAGGGGGAACGAATTCCCACTGAAAGAGGGCAGGGTTAGATGGGATATCGGGAAGAAAATCTCGGTGAGGGTGGGGAGGCCCTGGCACAGGTTGCCCAGAGAAGCTGTGGCTGCCCCATCCCTGGAAGTGTCCAAGGCCAGGTCTGGACAGGGCTTGGAGCAACCTGGGCTAGTAGGAGGTGTCCCTGCCCATGGCAGAGGGGTGGAACCAGATCAGCTTTAAGGTCCTTTCCAAACCAAACCATTCCATGACTCTATGCCAGGGGCTGTGTGTGCCCACAACAGGTGTGTAACACGGGTCTCTGGGTGTGTCCCAACAGAGCACGGGGGTGCCAGGGGGAAAAGGAGGGGCATCACACATCCTGGCAGAGCACTGATGACACAGGGAGAACAGGGAAAGCCCAAGAAGGTGCAAACTGATGGGGTCATGATTGACAGCACAGAGCAGAGAACTGGAAAGAAGCAGAAGACAGGAGATTAGAAAAGGAGGAACAAACCCTGCGGCAGTTGGAGAGAACATGGGTTAGTGGGGCTGAGCCCCGTGTGCGGGGCTGTGCAGAACCCCCCCCCACAGCACAGGGGCCTCTGGAGACAGGACCTGAGCCTGCCTGCCCTCATGGTGCTGCGCCTGCTCCACAGCCAGGGAAGAGGCACCATGAGACTACTGGATCCTCCTACGAGACCTGTCCCTCCTTGTCTTACAAAAAGGAGCACGTTATGGTGACTGACTGATTCCTGCCCAAGGCATCAGCCAGGCACTTCTCCAAGAACTGCACAAAAAGCTGCACCCTGGCATCAGAAGCAAAGCAGAGCTTAGGCCCTGGTCTGCAGAACTTAAACCCAGTAATGTAGGACCTCACAGCTCAAGCAGCTCATCCTTACCAGGTATTCCCACCTCTGGAAGGCTCCACCTTTGCTAGCCTCTTTTTTCAATGGACAAAACACGCTTAGAAGAGAAGAGACTGAAGGTTTGGGATGAGAGATCTCTCCCCTGCCCACAGGTGCACCCTCGGTGCTCCACACTCACTAACCCTCCTACAGTGTCACGTGGAACTTCTGCGCCCTGAGCAATTCCAGCCAAATCCAGCTGGCCCAAGAGCACGGTCAGATGGACAGTAATGTTACAGGAGCAAATCGTGTCCTAAAACCATCCTGCCCCCTCCCAGCATTTTTCAGGTTTATCTGCTGGCAACACCAAGTTCCTGGAAGAGCAGAGTCCCAAGATCAGAGCTGCACACCTGGGACATGAGCAGTGTCCCTGCAGGGACTCTGCTTCCAGAGGTCTGTGCAAGCAATGTCCTGTTTCTCCTTTTGACACCCATCTCAAAAAAAAGCTTCTATTACAGCATTCCTTGGATATGTTCATGCTTAGGCAAGAATCAGAGCTGACAGACCTCACAAAAGCTGCCCCTTCGTGTGGGGAATGCGCCTGGGAAATGGAGGCACGAGGGAGTGAAACTCCTGCAAGTCTCCCTGGGAAGAGATGGCAAATCAGGCCCTACCCCTCTCCAAGCACAGGGATGTGGATTTCCAGGAGAAGCTTGACAGGCAGTTTCTGATTTGTTGGCTTAAATACAAGAGTGAAGCTGTTTTCTTAGGTCCAAAGACTGAGTACAATTCTGTGCAGGTTGTCTGCTCCTGGGGACACTGTGGTGCTCGCACAGCATCACACTGATGGCTGCTTTTGGCACCATTCCACACTCACAGCCTTCCCGGAGACAGATGTGTGATTCCAGCCCTCTTGGAGCACCTGCAGCACAAGGGACTTGGTGGTCTCTGCAACCTCATAAGGAAGGATACGGCAGAGCAGGACAGTCCCTAAAAGGCTCCTAGAGAGCTGGAGGACAAGGACCTGGAGTGACAGGACAAAGGGGAAGGGCTTCCCACTGACAGAGGGCAGGGTTAGGTGGGATATTGGGAAGAAATTGTTCCCTGTGAGGGGGTGAGGTCCTGCCACAGGTTGCCCAGAGAAGCTGTGGCTGCCCCATCCCTGCAAGTGTTCCAGGCCAGGTTGGACGGGGCTTGGAGCAACCTGGAGTAGTGGAAGGTGTCCCTGCCCGTGGCAGGGGGTGGGACTGGGTGGTCTTGAAGGTCACTTCCCACCTAAACCATCTTGGAATTCTATGAAAACTGATCTCAAAGAAAATTTGCACAGAGAAGCTTGTACCCTCAAAGCCCTGGAAGAGCAGTCCAGCTCTGACTGAGGATTCACTTGGCACTTCTCCATTCCTGGAGCCTCCCCAGCAGCAACAGCCCTGTGATCATCCATGTCTAAGCACAAACACTGGAATTGCTAAGTGGAATCACAACTCATGGTTATCCTTCCAGTATCTTATCTAGCAGCCCTGTTCCTCTTCAAGCCTCATCCAACCCCAAAAGACAGTTCAGACTGTCCTTTGAATGTCTCCTACAGGAACATCAGGGGAAGAAAACTATTGTTAGTTATGGGAGCAGCCTGACTAATCTTTGGAAGGAATTCTATGACATAGTAAATGCCTGGACTAGCTTCAAGTCTTAGGTTCTGAGCTAGGAAGTTCTCTTTCTTCCAGAAGAATTTTTAATCACTCTTTCATGTTGATGGAATAGCTTGTGGGGGTAAAAATGGCCTCATCCTACCAATATTTTGGCTGCAGCAAGTTTTCCAGCCCAGCACCACTGGATATGTGGAATCCCATTTTTCATTCTGAATATGTGACCTTGCAGCTTCAATAACACGACTGCACACGGGTGACACGGGAGGTGGGAATTGTGTGCTGAGGGAAGGAACACGCCCACCATCGTTCACAGGTGTGTTCATGTTTGTCATGAACTCCCCTGTGTCCACGAACGTGCAAGCACTCTGGGAATCTGGGAGCCCCCTGGAAGCAGACAAGCTCAGCTCAGCTCAGCGGGTGCTTTGCATGGCTTCAACCGATCCTTCATAACCTCCCTCAACACCTGGGAGGGTGTAGGGAAGGGTCCTCTATTCCCTAGTTTTGTTCCCCGTAAGCCCCAGACACGCAGCAGCTCCCGCTCTGTGCTCAGCCCGGCGCAGAGGCAGTGGAGGCTCTGGCTCACCGTGCTGCCCTCCACATAGCCCGTTTCTCAGCCTCCAGTGCCCGGCGCTCCGCTGGAGACAGCTCCTTCTCCTTCTCCTGCCCGCTCAGCAGCTCCGGGCTCTGCATCCGCAGCCGCTCCTGGTGCCGCCGCTCGGCCTTGGCCGTCCGCACCGGAGCGCCGGGATCCCCTGGGAACGACGGGCTCAGCCTGGGCAGGGAGAGGAGGGGTGAGAGGGAGGGTGGCGGAGTCCACACAGCTCACCTGCCTGCGAGTGACACCCCAATCACCTCTTCGGTGCCACATCCACGGGTATCACCCTGGGAGGACACAGGACACACGGGAGTTTCTCATAAGGAGTTTCAGGTTAGATGGGGCTTGGACCAACTGCCCTTGGCAATCCCCACATGGGGTAGGAACCAGGTGGTCTTGAAGGTCTCTCCAACCCAACCCATCCTGGGATTCTATGAAGTTGGTCCCAATCAGTTTCCCTCTCTCCACCAAATCCTTCCTTTGCAGCCTCTGGCTGCTAAAAAGCAGAACTATCCAGTCCCTGCCCCAGCAGCCCCACTCACCCTGACATGGAGTTGGTTCTCTGCTCAGGCTTGATCCCCTCTTCCAGAGAATTCCTCTGCAAGCTGCTGTTCTCACTGAGCTCCGAGGGCCTGGAGAAAACAACCCTGTGAGCTGCAGCACCACAGGCTGCACACCTAGAGAGGGTGGGACAGGTCCACCCCCAGAAAGCAACAAATGGTTCAGGGTGAAGTCACAGCCCTCCATGGCTTTGCTCAGCAGCTCCTCCACCATTGCTGTGAGCATTCCCATGGGGATCTCCTACTAAATGTCCACACTAACATCAGAGCTCATTTCCTGCAGCTGGAGGTCAGCCAGACACACACAGAATTTCTGCCTCAGTTTTTTTAATAAAAATATTTGTTGGGCTTTCTTTTCCTCTGGATCTCTCCCTTAAGTCCCGGGAGCTTGGACTTCACACTTGGCTTTGTAAGATGTGGCACAAAGGTATTCCAAACAGAGGAGTCCAAGAGAGATTCACCTTGGAAGCACTGGTCACCTGATCCTGATTCTATACCTTCATTAACAGACAGATTTGATATATTTTAAATTCTTCCACGAGATGGGCCACAGAGCTGCTCTGAGAGCTGGAACCCCTCTGCTCTGGAGCCAGGCTGGTAGAGCTGGGGGCGTTCAGTTTATCGTGACACTCAGCCCTGATTTTTACTGCTCAAGTTTATTTTGGTTAAATTTCAGTTTCTGTTCTAGCATGAGAAAAATTATTTCAAGAAACACAAATTCAGCCTCTTCCACTGTCTCCCCCATATTCAAGTGTAAATAATAAGCAACTGAAAATCATCCGATGGATCCAGCCTTCCTGTACTTCAGCCTCCTACGTTTCAATATGAAAACGGGGGGGTAAGTGGGACTTCCCGAAAAACCAAGGAGCAGCACATGCCTCAGCACAGGAGGGGGAAGTCTCATGACATCATCGTGTGAGAAGTTCCTGAACTGAGACTGGGCAGAAACAACAGGGAGAAATGAGATTCCACGTACCAGGGTCAATGTGTTCAGCCACTGTGACTGGGAAGTGTTTGTGGAGAGGAGAATGTCTGTTCCAAAGACTCCAAAGAGAGATAAGGACGGCTTCAGCTTCACTCTAGTGCAGCCTTATTTTATCTGGAGCCTTTGAGAACCCTTTTCTCATTCCTCAGTTCTGTGCCCAAGAATTAGAAAAATACCTTCAAGACAATGTGGAGGCCAAGCCCCAGAGAACTGGGAAACAAAAGCCTAAAAAACCCCCAACTTGGTTCAGCATTCAGCTTATCTTGAATCATCTGTCTCTAAAAATCAACCTCTCTACACACCCTCTGGCATTGCTGAAGGAGCTGTTCCCTGAAAAGACAGAGCTGGGAAGTTGTCCCTTTCTGTGCTGAAGAAGAAATCCGGCCCACTCTCTTCCTTGAGAATTCCTGGGACGCCTCTGACACGTGTAGGTGGTACAGGGCTACCTGTAGTCCTGTCTTACCGAGCTGCTGGAGCCTGGATGCTCCTTCCATTCAGCCTCTCGACCTTGTACTCGACACCCTCGATGATGATGCTGGACTGCACGGCCTCGGGCACCTGCCTCACCTCCTCCTCCTCCTCCTCGGCCTCCTCCTCCAACAGAAGGGCTCGCTGCTGCTGCAGCTTGCGGGCTGCCAAGGGAGACAGGAGACAGCTCACACCACAGAGCACTCGCTGAACCCCCAGGGGTGGGACCTCTGGGCAGGGCCTTACACTGAACTCCCCAATAATGGGACCTCTGGGCAGGGCCTTACACTGAACCCTTCAGCAATGGGACCTCTGGGCAGGGCCTTACACTGAACCCCCAACAATGGGACCTCTGGGCAGGTCCTTAAGCTCCCCATCGCTCCAAGTCTGTGCTGGTTTCAGTCCATTCCCTCTCAATGGACACCTTTGTTCCTCCACCATTCCACCAATGCTTCAGATGGAACAAACTCTACAGTATTCCCTCAGTCCTTCCTTCCTTATCCACCAAACTTCCATTCTTGGACACTCTGTGGGCAGATTTCCAGCAGCTTCTCATGTCCAATGTTCCCATCCTCAAACTGAAAGTTGGGTACAGACTCTTCTGCCCCTTCCTCCGAGAAAACAGTCATGGGAATCTGCATCTTCCCACTGGCCTCCTGAAGGGACCAAGGCCTGGGGTCCTGGTGATGGGCCCTGCACATAGCAGTGGCCCTGGGAACATATGGGTCATGAGAGGGTCAGGGACAGAAGGAGGCAGAGAGCAGAGGGCAGATGTCCTGCAGGTGACCAGTCCCCAGAGGTGTTCCTCAGGGCTTAGCCTCGGGGCCAGTTCTGGGCAAGATTTTTATTAATACTTCTATCTGGCTGCAGGAGCAGAATGCACCAGTAACACTTTGCTGATTATGCCAAACTGAGAGGTGTCCTCAAGGGCTATGAGGCCTTGCAGAGGGATCCAGACAGGTTGGAGCATTGAGCAACCATTAATGGCATGAAATTTAACAAGGGCAAATGCCAGGTTCCGCACCTGGGACAGAGCACTGCTAGGCCCAGGTATAATTTCAAGAGGAGTGGCTGGAGAATTCAGTAAAAGCCCTTCTTTCCACTTCACACTGTTCCTCATCACCTCCTAAAACAACTCTTAAGCAGGAGGAATGACATAAAAAACCAGAGCAGCAATTTACCTCCTACTGCAAACCCAGAGCAGCATGGTGAGCACTGAGAGCTCCAAGAGCTCTGCTGCCAGTCCTGTGTGAGGCTGCCACAGTGCCATGGTGCTGCTCATCTGGGCAGCTGGCACAGACTTATTGTCTGGAGTGGCTTCAAAAATGTTACTGAAGTGTTTACCAACTGCAGACAGGGACCTGCTGGAGTGAGTCCAGAGGAGGGACATGGAAATGCTCTGAGGGCTGGAGCCCCTCTGCTCTGGAGCCAGGCTGGGAGAGCTGGGGGTGTTCACCTGGAGAAGAGAAGGCTCCAGGGAGACCTGGGAGCCCCTTCCAGAGCCTAAAGGGGCTCCAGGAGAGCTGGAGAGGGACTGGGGGCAAGGGCTTGGAGTGACAGGGAAAAGGGCAATGGCTTCCCACAGACAGAGGGCAGGGTTAGATGGGATACTGGGAAGGAATTCTTCCCTGTGAGGATGGTGAGGCCCTGGCACAGGTTGCCCAGAGAAACTGTGGCTGCCCCATCCCTGGAAGTGTTCGAGGCCAGGCTGGATGGGGCTTGGAGCAAACTTGGGGATAGTGGAAGGTGTCCCTGTCCATGGCAGGGGGTGGGAATGGGTGGGCTTTAAGGAACCATCCTGGGATTTTGTGATACAGGACACCCTGACACTAGAGCACTTCCAGTAGCCCACACAGTCTCAGTTTAGCATCCACAGAACTCCTCAACATTCACTTACTCCAAATTATTCCCAGGCCTTTTAATAACCACCCATGGGCTTCTCTTCTGGAAGTGCTGCATTTCCATGGGAAAGGAATCACTCAACAGGCCAAATTTCCATGCACAGATTCCAACATACCTTCTTCCTCCTTCATTTTCTTCAGGTCATCCTCCCCCACCAAGGACACACGCTTGGGAGGCTTGTCCAGGTGCTGCTGCTTCACTTCAATCTCAAAATACTTCTGCCTCTCACGGAAGGACCTTTGCTCGGGGCTGTGCTGTCCCCCGGGCCTGTGCATGGCCTCCTGCAAGAGCCACACCACAGTCCATTGGCCCCCCACCACACCACAGCCCATGGGCCCCCCACCACACCACCACAGCCCATGGGCCCCCAGCCACACCACAGCCCACGGGCCCCCAGCCACACCACTGCCCACGGGCCCCCAGCCACACCACAGCCCACGGGCCCCCAGCCACACCATCACTGCCCACGGGCCCCCAGCCACACCACCACAGCCCATGGGCCCCCAGCCACACCACCACAGTCCATGGGCCCCCAGCCACACCACTGCCCACGGGCCCCCAGCCACACCACTGCCCACAGGCCCCCCAGCCACCCCATTGCCCGTGGCCCCCAGCCACACCACCCTCCCCATGTCACCCCAACCCTTACTCTGCCTCCTGCTCCACACCCTTCTCCTCCTCCCCAGCCCCCCCATGCTGTGAGCCCATCTCCTCATCACAGCCCCCACGTCCTCCTGACTCCCACCCTCTTTCCAGCCCTAGCCCCAAAACTCACCTCCGAGGCCATTTTGGTGTTCTCTGTGCTGCTCTGACCAGACAATTCCTAAGGACAGAGAGAAACAGGCACATTTTAAAAGGAAAGTTTCCACCCACCCCCATCTTCCAGCCACGTGAGCTGACGGAGGCTCCCAAAACAGTCCCGCAATTCGCACAGAATTAACAAGTCAGGCTCAGCGATAGTCAGGAATGAGGATTTACATTAAATTGAGGGTTAAACAGAACCAGGTGTGACAACTTCTGAAGGAGCAGAAACTGAAAAACATGAAACAGGTGGAGAACAGGAGCAGGGGCTGAGCTGGAGCTGGAGAGAGTTCACAGGAGCTGGATGGGGCTCACTTACATCTTCCTTACATCAAAGATAAAACCACCCAAAACTTACCACTTTTACCAGGATAAAGAACAGAATATTGGATGAGTAAAACTACAGAGGGTCCAGAGAATCACCATCTGTGACTGAGGAATCCATAGGGGTAAAGTGAGAACTGCCAACAAGTTATGGAAAAGATGTAAGCTTTTTAATTAGACAAATTGAAAGGACCCACAATAAGAGAGAAAGGAGATGACCTTTGGCTTTATCCAAACACACTCCAAAAACTAACAGGAAGTTTTAATTTTGTATAATATGGAGTACAATAATAGAGAAGGGAAGGAGCTGAAAAAGACCAAAAAAAAGCTTCTAGCAAAGGAGCAAATGTCTGAAAACAGGAATTATTGCTGCTACCACAGAAGCAAAGCCAAGAGCTCAACACAAACCTGCAGGACCAGGACAATCCCTGCGCAATAACTCTGAGTGGAATGACTTGTGACAATGCCCATCTGACAAGCACGGATATTTAATGGACTTTTAATTGGGTGGAAGTTCATGCCTAAAACAATAGCTGATATATTCCTAAAAATCCAGAAGCAGGCAGAGATAAGTTGAGCAGTGGAGTTATCAGTGTATCCAAGTTCAATGGACAAATGTAATTAAACAAAAATAATTTAAGGGGACGAAAAGAATTTCCCTCAATAATGCAAACTGCCAGGTGATCTCCCGCAGGAGCAGAAGTTGTTCCTCAACCCGTGATGCATCAGCTGGAGATGGTGATGCTGGAAACACTTCTGTGCACAAGGCACACCTGACCATGAGCTTGGGTCACCTGGGGGATGGCAGATGCCAACAGAGACCAGGTCCACCTCCTGTTCATCCTGCTTTGCTACATCTTCCCTGAGGTTATCTGACAGTCATTAACTCTGAGGAAATCAGTCAATAAAGCTAAAATGGACAAAAATCAAGCCTACAAACAGCAGAGACAGACTGTGACCCCTCTTGATGTACCAAACCAGATCAAGGTGAGGGCAGGTGAGGACAAGGGACACGGGAGGGCACAAAGTGGCTGTCACAAGTCATTGCAGGACAGCCACAGCTTCCAGCATGAACATGGAAAAGGAAAGAAAGGGAAAGGAGAGAAAGGGAAAGAAGAGGAAGGAAAGGAAATGAAGAAGCAACACCCCAGCAGAAAGCCATCTGTGAAACAGGATCTCATTTGCAGCAAGAATGTGCCAGCAAGAAGAAGACAGGAACAGGGAAAAGGGAAGCAGTGAGGTGATCCCGAGAGCAGAGGGCCCCGAAGTGCCAAAGGGGTTCTGCCACAGGGTTCTGCTCCCTTAGTAAACGACTGTCCATGTCAGACAGCTCCAGAGCTCTCACCCAGCTGGAGCTGGCATGCATGGACACAGGCTCCTCAGGAAGGATGGGCAGGGAGGATGGCATGGGAGGGGAGGCAGCAGGCTCAGGGCACCTCGAGGGCAGCGAGCCCAGACTGGGGCTCCCTGGGATGTGGAGGACACCAACAAACCACACAACATCAAGGGGATGCCAGCAAAATGGCACAGGGGTTGCAGGAGGTGACATTTGAGAACAGGCTGTGCTTGTTCAGCCTGGAAGAGGAGGCTCAGGGGAGGGGGATCTAATTCCTGCATCTCTAGAGGAGTTACAGAGCCAAGGTCAGGCTCCTCAGAGATGTCCAGCAAGGGATAAGCAGAAGACATAATCTGTGGTAAAAAAAATTCAATAAAACAGAAAAAAAAACTCTTCACAGCAGAGTGCCCACAGTGTCCTCAGAATCTCTGATTCTGGGAATTCAGAACTCAAGGGGATGGGCCTGAGCAACCTCTTACAACTTTGGATGCATTTGGACAATGCTCTCAGGCACATGGTGGGATTCTTGGGGGTGTCCTGTGCAGAGCCAGGAGCTGGACTTGATGACCCTTATGGGTCTCTTCCAACTCAGGACATTCCATTATTCAATGATTCTAACTTCCAAGGTTGTGCTGTTTTGCATGGGAGACCAAGGCAATGACGTCCAAGGCCTCATCTAACCTGAACAGTTCCATGATTCTGCTACATGGAGGGGAGAAAAAATAGTTCCAGTGAAGCTCAAAATCAAAATCCACTCAAAAATGGCTCAGCACAGGTTTAGCCTGGCCCTGGACTCTGGAATTTCAGAGTTCCTTTGTATGAGAACAGCTTGGTTGTACATCAGCATCCCAATGTCCAAGGAGAACAACGGTGCCGTGCGATTCCAGGACCTGATACACTCACAGACACAGATACACTCTGCAGGGTGACCATCTGCATCATGAACAGATGCCAACTTCCACAGGACCTCAACATCCCCCTTCTCCACGGCAGCTTTCTTTGGAGGGAACAAATCACCACCTCCTTCCCTTCTCACACCTGCTCTGCTCAGCCCTGTGCTGGAGCAGCCCCCCAGCAGCACGAGTTACCTGTGTCCCGAGCAGCGGGTGGGACAGGGGCACTGCTGCGAAGGTCTTGTAGGCCTGCTTGACATTGATGGGGACCTCGTCAGGGGAGGGTGGCGACGGTGGCTTTTGCTACGGGGACAGACAGGAGGTAAAGGTGAGCACAGGTGGTGTGACAAAACCCACACGGGGGAAACACAGCCCAGCTCTCGGCCTGCAGAGCCCGACGAGTGGGATAGGGAAAGGAATGTGTGAGGGAACATGTAAGCCTTGCCAAGGCTGCTCCTGAGCCTTGGGCAGGAACACAAGGAGCAAAGTACTGCACATACACTACACATAGCAGCATGTGGGTCACAGCCCTGTTTTATTTCCTGGATGGTGGAGGAATGGTACTTGTCATGGCACAGATCCTCATTGACCTGACAGGAATGTTGTGATGGATCTCCTGGCCAAGGGCCACATTGCTGTCACAGTCCTTGAGGACTTCCACCCAATTCAACCAGCATGTGCCTACCTGAATCAGGGGTTTGGGGGCTGGAACAGTTACATGGTTGATTCTGACTTCTACTAAGAGTTGAACAAGATTCCTTCTAGTGGAAGGTGTCCCTGCCCATGGCAGGGAGTGGAACAAGATGGTCTTTAAGGTCCCATCCAACCCAAACCACCCTGTGGTTCCATGATCTGATTCAAGTATCTGTAATCTGTGAGGAGATCTGCCTTTCATCTCAAATATTTCCTTTGCAGGATTCCACTTACTCAGAAACATCTGACAAAGTCTGAGGGACCTTCCTACTGCTTGTCACTGCCTTTGCTGGTCCTTTCCTCACCCACCTTCCCCATGACTCCTCCTGCCATGTCTGGGGGGAAGCACAGTTGGGGTGACCTGCTCAAAGCATCACAGAAATTAATGGGATGGGGGACAATGACACCCCAACCTTCCTTCTGCTGGAAAACAAATACTCCTTTGCTATTCATCACTCCAACCCTCTAGATGCACTAATCCAGTTCCAGGCCTTTGTACTTTTTCTTTGTTCTGGGCTGAGGCTAAAATATGTTGTTTGATCATGTTCCTTCTGCACAGGCTGAAGGACAGCACAGTGAGATCAGAACAGACTGTAAAATGTGAACCATGGCCAATTCCATGGGTTCTGTACAGCTCTTTGTCTGCAAAGCACACCTCTGGTTTGGTATCATGTCATACAAGCTCCAGTAGAGAGGGAAGGGCTGGATCCATGGAATCCCAGGATGGTTTGGGTGGGAAGGGACTTAAAGCACATCCAGTCCCAGCCCCCTGCTGTGGGCAGGGACACCTTCCACTATTCCTTCCACTTCTTCTGGCATGACAAAGACCAAAACACCTGAATCTTTCTCTCCCATCAACAAATAGTCCTGGGAATATGAACTTTTCAAAAATAATAATTCTGTAAATTGTAAAATCCATCAGCAGGATGGTATTGGCTCTTGCTCCAAGGTGCCAGACATTGACAAAGGTTCTGTAGGATTTATGTCTCCACAGAACTTAACACCTCACAAATATGGCTCTAAACCTGTACCTGCTCTGCGGATTTTGGCCACAACAGCTTCAGCATTGCCGACTCCTGGGACGGGGAGACACGGAGCAGCTGGGGAGGCCCAGAGAAATGAGTGGGATGCACTGACCTTGCCCTGCCTGTGAGGAGTGAGGGCTCCTCCCCGGGGTACCCAGACTGGTGCATGGACACCACCAGCCTCAGCTCAGGCACGTGGTCATCAAACCACACCATCACTGCTGGGAGGGTGTCCAGCCACAATGTGTGGCACCATGGCACCCAGGGCAGGGAAATGGCTTTCAGGGAGAAACCCCAGGCCACTTACAGAGTTGTGGATCCTGAAGCATGGCTCGGGCTGCTGGAAGGGGTTGGGGCTGTCCCCCTCCTCCGCAGTGTGTGAGGCGGCGCTTTGTCGCACGCGGGACAGAGGCTGAATGACGCCGGGCTTGGTCTGCTCGTGTCAGTGCCCCAGGGAAAGGCAGAGGAAGAGGAGGGGGAGGGAGAAAGAGAGAAGAGAAATGAGCAGTTAGGGCAGCGAGGTGTCTGCCATGCGGGTGAATAAACAAACCCATGCAAATCCATGCACCCCAGCTCCATTCCTCAGCTGTGCTGCCCGCTCCAGCTACCGGACCCAGACCAGCAGGAGAGCTCCTGGGGCCAACACCAAAAGAGATTCAGCCAAGTCAGGGTCACTCAGGACCAGTGGGTTATGGAGAAGGCCACAAGGGAGCATCTGCCACACAAGAAGCAGCTACAAGGGTCAGCGGGATATGGCATGAGTGTGATGAAATTCAGAGAATGTGAGCGCTGGGGGTGGAAGTAGGGAAACATCAGCCAGGAATTGGGAACTGGCAGAAGCTGTAGATGGAAGTGAACCAGACCCAACCAGGGCTCTGACTAGAAATGCAGTTATAGGAGCAGAGGCAAGAGTCTAAGACTTGACCTAGGCATCATCATCGCTGCTGGATGCTGTGTGGAAGTGAACAGAGCACCTGACACTAAAGAGAGTGACAGCAGGAGTTGGGTAGGGCAGCAAAAACGCCAGGAGTGGAAGCTGCGAGGGGAAACGGGAATATAAGCTGCAAAAACAGTTGTGTTGGGTTTTCAAATGGATCATAATTAAGACTTGGTGCATTTGTACAAACTTGAGGCACAGTGGAGGACTGGAGGAAATAGAATAGGAGCCAACAGTGGAGCTGCAAGGCTGGGTGGGAGTGAGCACCCACAGGAGGAAGAGACAAGCTCCACGTGCTGGGGGATGCGCAGGGACACCACAGTCAGGTCTCAGGACAGTTGTACTCACTGATTTACTGTCATCCTGCGACGTAATGAAGTTAATGGAAGCCTGCAAACAGAAATACAGGTGTAAATCTGGAGTCCACCTTGAAAACCTTTAGTTTACCTCTGCCCCACTGCCTGCCCTGTCTGGGGAACTCCCAGATGCTACAGAAGCCCTGCCATTCCTGCTTCTTTGAGTGGGGACAGGCCAGAGCTCACCTGCCAGAGCAGCTCCTCTGCTATGCAAGGATGCCCTCAGCTCTCTGCACATCTCCAGGTTCTGACCCCAGCTCTAGGCAGGTCCTGGCCCTTGGTCACAGCCCCTGATCCTGGCCCACAGGCACATCTCCTGGTCCTGGCCCATGGGCACATTCCCTGGGCATATTCCCACCCTCCGCACTTGCCCCCAAGCCGGAGCAAAGCCATCCCACCGCAGGTCCTCCCCAGCAGCGCTCGCAGGTGCCATCACAGCAGCAGCTCACAGGGAGCAGCCCCTTGTGCCTCAGGTGCCACCAGGGCACTGCTTCCTCAGCGAGCCCCAGGGGAGCCCCAGAGAGCCCCAGGGGAGCCCCAGGTCCCCGCGGGGCCGGAGCAGGGGGCGCGGGCAGCGGGAGCAGCCGGAGCAGCAGCGCACACCGCACACCAGCAGCACTTACAAAGCGGGTCTCCCTGCCGGCCAGGTGAGGGGGCCGGGGGGCTGCGGGCACCTGGAGAGGGGCATCAGCAGGGGAGAGAATGGGAGAGAAAATGGAGAGACTGGGTTTTCCGTGGGAGAGAAGCACAGAGACTGCAGCACCTGGAGCTGTCGGGGTGCCCACCATGGGGGAAGCCCCTCTGCCCTGCTCAGCACAAACAGACCCACCACAAACACCTACTGCCTCCCCCCACCCCCTCACAGAGGCACGACGCCAACTCAGGACAAAGGATTCCATTTCCCTCAGGAATTCTCTGAAATAAGCCAATAAATTCTGGCTGGACTACAAGATGTTGAAACCAAAGAATTAACAGTAAAAATAGATGGAGCCAGAGAATTAGAGATGCAATTCCTTGGAACTTCTGCTCTGGAGGAACAAGACTCCTCAATCCTCAGAAAAGCAGAGAGCTGGGGGTGTTCAGCCTGAAGAAGGCCTTGGGGGGACCTTAAAGCCCCTTCCAGTGCCTAAAGGGACTCCAGGAGAGCTGGAGAGGGACTTTGGACAAGAGCCTGGAGTGCCAGGACAAGGGGGAATGGCTTCCCATCGAAAGAAGGCAAGGTTAGATGGGATACTGGGGAGAAATCCTTCCCTGGGAGGGTGGGGAGGCCCTGGCACAGGTTGCTCAGAGAAGCTGTGGCTGCCCCATCCCTGGAAGGGTTCAAAGCCAGGTTGGACGGGGCTTGGAGCAACCTGGGCTAGTGGGAGGTGTCCCTGTCTATGACAGGGGTGTGGAACGAGATAGTCTTGAAGGTCCCTTCCCACCCAAACCATCCTGGGAATCCATGGAAACCAATCTCAAAGAAAACTGGCACTTGTGGTAAAAGGAAAACTTACAAACAGCCCAAAATAAACCCTCACCCAGTTTGCAGCTGCTGTCAGAAATGCAAATAGGTAAACACATGCAGCTGGAACAAAGTGCCTTGGAATATTGTTGCTATAACAAATCGTATCCTCTTCTAATCTTGTTGTGTTCCTGATGGACACTCAATTCCAAAGGATCCAAGAACTAAGGGAGATGCGAGACAGGCCGAGAAGTAACAGGAGATGGACTGAAGTGCTGCTCCTACAGTTTCAGCATGTGGTCTCAATCCTTCTCCTCAGCCCGTGCCACTGGTCACCTCACCCCAAGGTAAAGCCCTTCACCCCAAGAGTCCTCTCCGGCTCCGAGAACTGAAATGGCTCCACTGAAGATCAGGGAAGTGCTAGAGCCGGTGGGGAGAGCAGCTGGACAGCTACTCCCAAACAGCTGGAGAGCAGCTGGACTCCAAAAGGAACACAACAGACCCAAAACGACTACAGACAGAGGACAAAGTACAACTTGCAGTTCACTCAAGCCCCCAGTATAAAACCCAGTTACAGGTAATGGCTGTGAAGGGAAAATTAAAAAATCCATTTAAGATCATTTAACTTCAAAAGGTTCAACTGAGCTGTGACACCTCCTGCCACAGGATGGACAGTGGGAGCAAAGACTCAGAGACTGAAAAGGAAAGATCGGAGCTGATACAATGAATAAGAACAGTGAGGGAGGACAGGTAATATTCATTAAGAAAAAATAATCAGAAGTTACAAGAAATAAAGACACTTCCCATTGCAGAAGGAAAACCTCTGAGCAAGGAGCTGTAGCAAATCATTTCCTGAGCGCAGGGTCCTTCCACTTCCTTCCCAACAGCTCACGTGGGTCACCTCCAGTGTCACACACAGATCCAGGGACCCTCTGGGAAGCACTGGGCAGCACTGGTTTACAGACCCGAGATCATTCTCCAAACCCTGACTCCTCCATTTCTCACCACGTACCAGTTACCAGGGTCTCTGTATAAGGCATTGGTGAGGCCATTCCCAAAATACTGACAACCACAGGTAGTACCATTCCAGGTACTCCCCATCTCATCACCCTGGAATTAAGCCACTTCTCAGAGCTCGTTTATGACCAGCTAATCACCCTCCTAGCTCTCTGAGGCATTTTGAAGGAGGCAGCTCTTCCCTCGCTCTCTAGTTGCCTCCTGTGACAGATCCCCTCCACCTCGACAGTGTCACTGAAGGATGATAATCGCCCTCAGCTTCCTCTGCATTTCATCCCTGGAAGTGCCTCCCTGCCTTTCCCATATCACCTGTCCAGGGGGCAGTCTCACCTGTGGATTACTGGGCGAATAGGGGGTTTCACGCCTGGAATTTCCTGTCCCAGACTCGCCCACAGGAGCCTGAAAGAGAGAAGACAAAGCTCGAGAGTTACTGTATGGCAGAAGGGGGTCTGTAGAGCCCGGGAGGCATAGGACACCCTGGACATCCAGCCATGGCCCCTCCCCAGGGAGCAGGGTTAGAAGGACCCAGCAGCAGCTGGAATGTGCCAGAAACTGCCAAAAAGCGCTAGAAACAGCAAGGGAATGGCATTAAACATTGGAACTGGGATCATATCCAAACATCCTGCAAGGCCAGCTAGATCAGGTACAGCCTCTGCCTCATAGCAAGCCCTGAGAATCCTCTTCCCTGACTCCTCACAGCCCTCACAGGCAGGGTCACAGTCCAGGCAAACCTCCTGCTGTACAGACACTGAGCAAAAATAGCCATTGCCAACTGGAAGGAGAAAGGAATCATCCCCAGCCACATCCATTACTATTGGCCTACTGGTAGGACCAGTAAAATTGGAGAGACAGGGCTCTCCTCAATTCCAGAGGAACTTCTGGCACCAACGCTTGGCTGAACCAGCCAACAGCCCATCCCAACAGCTGAACAGAGAGCAGAGTCCCAGGAACCACCTGCACTCTGACTGCAGGAGTGAGGAGCACATTTCGGAAGTATTTTAGATGCCTAAAGGTGGAAGTGGGTCATTTGGGATTTAGAGAACTGTTTAGGCAAGCCTACGGTCCCAGTCACTAATATCACAGCCGCTGGTCAGTTGGTTCAAGTCAGCCTTGGGCAACAGTGTTTAATCTGACCAAGCCTGAAGTCACCTGAAGTTTATTCTGGAGCACAGATTCCACTGCATGCCTTGTTCTAAGCTGACCTGCCTACACACTTGTGAAATTCCCTAAATCACCTCCAAGATCAGTACAGCTGGGGGCTGGGTTGGTTGATTGGTTGGTTTTTCCTCTGTGTGGGGCTGTTCATCTGTGGCTGTTTAGCTTTTGAGACCTCCCAAAAGGCTGAGAAAGGAAGAAGGGGAAAGCAACGTAGAGCTCATCTAGAGGACGGGCTAGACCCTCTTTGGGTCTAGTCCCTGCTCTGCCAAAAGTTCCCTGTGCAACAGCAAGAATGTCAAATACAAACAGATTTCCCAGAGCAGAAAGCAAAGTTCTCCCTTGAAATCCCAGTCTCAATCTACCGAAAAGTGTCATTTGGAGAAGCAGCTCCTGGGCTGTGGATCAACCACGGCAGCTGCTCTCTGCTTGCTTTTCAGACGCCTAAGAGGGTTTATTCAGGCCCAGGTGTGTAAGTGTGGCATCAGCACCGACCTCCCACAAGCCCTGCCAGCCCCTGCTGCCAGCTGAGCGGGCAGGGACGCTGCTGTCCCAGCTGGACTGAGAGGGACAGCAGGGAAGTCACAGACGTCACCGTGCCCTCGGCGGGGCTCAGCAGTGCACGCGTGGCCGTGAGCGGGGTGCGTTAGTGGCTGGAGGACAACACACTGACTGTCGGGGACCGACGGCCCCACGCGCAGTGCTGGGGGCACACGGGGTAGGGGGGCCCGGCCCGCGGGCACCGTGCTGCCCAGCGCCGGGGTTTAGTAGGGGCCGGTGGCCGAGACTGTGTGAGTGCATGCCAAACACCACACGGCACACGCCGCTTGCCTTGCAGTACAGGCTGGTCTTCAGCACGCCCCCGCTGCCGTAGCCCAGGGGAGGCCCTCCCAGGCTGGCTGTGCCCGCAGCCTTGCCCCTGCGGTTGGCCACCACAAAGGGGTTCTCACTGAAGGGGATGGGCTGCGAGTCGATCAGACACTCTGGCTCTGGCGTCTCTGGAAGCTGCTCCTGGGACAAGGGACACCCTGTGGAGTCCTGCTTGTCTCTCCAGGGCTGTTCTGCCCCGCTCGTGTGCTGATGGGGTGACGTGGGGTGCTGAGGGGGCCCAGCCACGCTGCTGCTGGTCGTGCCCGTGGGGTGCTGAGGGGGCCCAGCCACGCTGCTGCTGGTCGTGCCCGTGGGGTGCTGAGGGGGCCCAGCCACGCTGCTGCTGGTCGTGCCCGTGGGGTGCTGAGGGGGCCCAGCCACGCTGCTGCTGGTCGTGCCCGTGGGGTGCTGAGGGGGCCCAGCCACGCTGCTGCTGGTCGTGCCCGTGGGGTGCTGAGGGGGCCCAGCCACGCTGCCGCTGGTTGCACCCACTGCCGGGTCCGGGGACGCTTCCCGGCTGTCCCGTGCCATGGGCAGGGACAGCACCGTGCAGTCACCCTCCATGCTGGAGCTGGGCTTAGTACACTGAGCAGGCTGAGAGGAAAACAGAAGGATCAGACAGAAATAAAGAGAACAGAATAAAGGAGAGGAGGAAGAAAATACAGAGCAGCTGATGAAGGACAGGAGAGAAAAGAATTCCAGTGCTAATGCCCACACACCATGCCATCCCTCTCTCCTGCTCTACCACCAATCTGTGACCCCCAGTGCCACTTCCAGGACAGGACCCTGCTGTGCACACATACCCTGGGGAGCTGACAGGCACGAGTGCTCCCTGCACTGCTCCAACTCACACACATTTCTCCTGCTGCTCTCCAGCCAAACACACTGCCAACACCTGCACGAGCACACGCCCTCCCCCTGCCCACCACAGCACACAGAATCACAGAACAGCTCGGGTTGGAAGGCGCCTCTGGAGATCATTCAGTCCAACTCCCACTCCATTCACTCCCCCTGCCATGGCCCAGCCTCTGCTGTCACCTCAGCACTGCCACACAGTCACACAACACCCACCCCGTGCATTTCCATCACACCTGTACAGGTGAACATGCTTTTATGGCCCCACTGCATCACAACACACCCAAAGTACCAGAGCTCAGTACAGCTGATGGAGCACAGACCCCTTGGGCGGCTCTTGCTGATGGCAGGAGTGAGGCAGCCTCAGTTCTGCCAGGGCTTGCACCCAGCCTAGATGAAGCCCTGACCCTTCCTCTTAATGCTATAGAAGAGAATTTGTTACCCCAGCCAGAGCCTTCCTCAAGGGAGCAGAGAAAAGCAGAGAGCAAAGACCAAACCTTCCATCCAAGTGCCTCCGGGGAGCAGAAAGACCTCTCCTGTTCAGAGCACATTCTCCAGCTCCCGTGTCATGGCAGTGGTCACCAAAATAGCTCTTGAGGGTGGGCTGGTGACTACAATGGCAGCTGGGAGGCTCAGGAATTTCAGAGGCCCTCCCCTAACCCCCCAACTCAAGCTCTGTGGCTGGCAGAGCCCTGGCTCATATCGTGTTTCCTGGGCAGCAAAGTCTGTGCTACCTTGAGAAATCCTGCTGTTGTGGCTATATGACTTTCCAGTGTAAAAACCCTAATTCCAACCACCTTTTCCCAGAGGGCCATCAAGCCTGAAAGTCTGTGGGGAGCCTCAATCCCTATTTTGTTCTTGGACCTGACTGGAACTGGGCAGGATCTGCCCCTTAGCTGTAAGTTCCAGCTCCCACTGTTGTGGCGTGTCCCGGTGGGGAGTCCTCGCTCCCTGGCCCCACAGGAACTATTTCTGTCAGACAAGCCACAATTTCTATTTTGGGTAAGCAAAGATTTGGGCAATGCAGTGAACTTTCCCAGCCTGCAGACAGGACAAGCGTGTGTTACCCTGCATCCTCCAGGGCACTGAAAGAAATCTAATCTGAAATCTGCAGAACAAATACAGAGAAAGAATCATGGCAAGAAACCAAAGAGAAACAAATTCAGAGCAGAAAGTGCAGGTTGTTAATTAACTAATCATGGTGACCTGGTACTGAGACATGTCAGTTCTTCTCCGTTTCTCATAGTTCAGAAAGCAAAATTAGACTTTAATCATTTTGCTGTGATCAGTCCCTCACGGGTCTGGCTTTCCTGTCTGGTCGATGCAGACTACAGAGACTGTAACAGCTCTTTGACTCCTGCAAGGGCACTGTCAAAGAGTCACAGAATCCCAGGATGGTTTAGGTGAGAAGGGACCTTAAAGCTCACCTTGTTCCACCCCCCTGCCATGGGCAGGGACACCTTCCAGTAGACCAGGTTGCTCTAAGCCCTGTCCAATCTGGCCTTGGACACTTCCAGTGGTGGGGCAGCCACAGCTTCTATCCAGATGTTGCAGTACCCTGGCTGCATGGCCAAAGAGTATCACCCAGATGAGCATTCCCATGCTGCTTCCAAAGGGAATTTTCAGTTGGGCTTCTAACAGTGGACAAACAGAACAGGCAAATCCTCAGCCTTTGTTAAATCCTGCTCACAAAGGGACCCAGACACAGCAACACAGATGGATCCAAGGCAGACAATCACCTGCTCCCTTCTCTGGGGGCCATTCTTGGAACCCTCATGATGAATTCCACCCTCAGTTACAGTGGTCAGGATTGATGTGCACCTCCTCTTGCTTCATTATCAGAACAAGAAAAATTCCCTGCAGCTCCATCTTGCTCCACAGCAAGGACAGGAATGGTTCCCTGCATCTCCTCCTGCCCCACAGTGAGGACAAGAACAGTTGCCTACAGCTCCTCTTGCCCCACAGGGAGGACAGGAACAGTTCCATGTAGCCCCTCGTGTCCCATGGTGGGGATAGGAACAGCTCCCTGTGGCTCCTCCTATCCCACAGCAACGACAAGAACAGCTCCTTCGCAGGGAACTAAGTGTCAGTAAAAGATACCCAGACACTGTTTTTAGAGGAGAATGTATGTGGTGAGAGAGTTGGCCTGGAGACAGGGAGAAAGAGAAAACCACGATGGGAATGGGACAAGAGCACCAATCATCTGGATGCAGTCAGACTGTCCAGAGATGGACAACCTTCCCTGACCTGCCTGTCCTGCTGGAAAGCCCACCCTGGCTGAGTCTTCCAGCAGTCACCAAACAGGCCAGAGCAGCTCCTGAAGGACCACCAGAACCTCTGTCCCCACACCAGAATCTCACTTGTCCCCACGATCCAGGCAGACGTACTTTTCCAACCAGAGCAAAGACAGGGCTGGTGACAGCTGGACAAAACCACACATTGGCACCCATGGGCCCTTCCCTGAAGCAGGACATTTATAGATGCTGCCCATCACCCCGGCATTCCAGCACACTCAGCCCCACATTCCCATGCCAGGCGTTCCCATCTGACACAGGCTGCAAGGAACAAGCTCCCAGAGGCTGCTCCGCTCTGCACCACGCTCGGACTGTCCAGCACGGAGGCAGCTGCTGCCTGGGGCTGGCTCTCCCCCTCTTCCAGCTACTGAGTTACACTCAGAGACGCTAAAAATAAACCTTTTCCTGATAATGCTTTTTTGTGTGACCAGCAGGAAGGAAACCCAAAAGCTGAGAAGTATGGGAACAAAAGGAGCCAGAGCTGGAGCCAATGCAGGGCTGTCATTGAGTGGGGCAGAAAGCAAGAGGGCCTGGAAACAGGAGGAAAGAGAACAGGAGAAGAGACCTGTTTGCATGGAATGGGATGGAGACTGGAAAGGTAAAAGAGATGATCCCAAAACAATGGAGTGGGATGATGACAGCAAAGGGAGGTCTTGCCACACCAGAAGGAAAGGAAGGAGGAGACTGAGGATGTGTGAAGGAGCAGGCAGAAGCCCAGTGGAATAGGGGAGATGCAGGGAAGATAAAAGGAAGCAAAGATGGAGAGAGAATTTAAACAACACAGAAGGGAGATGAGTTTGTAATCCATAAAGTTTGTGAAAACTGGAATTTCTCTTGGCCACTACATATGAGGGACTGGCAGACAGAGCACAAGGCAGGAGCATCCACAGCTGGAGTCACGACACACAACATGATACATGAGCCACAGGGCTCAGCCACAACACACAACCACAGCCACTTTGCCTTCTGCAGGCCTGGGGGATCTTGGTTTTCATAGAATCTCAGGATGGTTTGGGTTGGAAGGGACCCTGAAGACCATCCAGTCCCACGCCCTGCCATGGGCAGGGACACCTCCCATTAGACCAGGTTGCTCCAAGCCCTGTCCAACCTGGCCTTGAACTTTTCTTAATACTTTCAGTCTCAGCACCTTCAGCCTTTCTCATTCCTAAACACCACCCCAAAATGGATGTACAACTGAGCTGTGCACCCAACACTGTCATCACTGTGTTGGGAAAAATCTTTCCCTCCCTCCTTGGCAGCTTTCCGGAGCCGCTTCCCTCCACAACAGATCCCTGCACTCTCCCACTCATGTCTCCTTCTCTTTCTTCTGGGCTGTTCTTTCTGCCTTGTTCCAGACTTTGTTTTTTGCAAACTTTGCAACTTCTCTTCCCAAGAAGAAAAACCACCTGGCTCTTGCTCTCCTTGTTTTCTTATTCCCATCTTTCTTTTGCAGCTACCTCCCATTTCAGTGCCAGAGTACCCCACAGTTCTGCTTCCCCATTTTCCTCTGCAGAGGATGCCATCACCAACCACAGCATGGCACCTTTCCTTACAGGGCAGGTAAGGAAAGGACCACGGCCTCCCCTGCAGGGACCCCCATCTCCACAGCCCCTCACTGCCTCCCCCAGAGGGACCCCCACCCCCTCTGCCCCCCCACACCCCCCACCCTGCAGGGACCCCTCAGCCCCACTCACAGCACGGTTGCCTCTCTGCAGGCCACTGCTGGGCAGCGCTGCCAGGGTCCGGTAGTCCAGGCGCAGGGGTTCACTGGGGATGCTCTGGAGAGGGGAAAGAACCACAGACACCAGGAACGGGTCAGGCCCAAAGTCAACTAAGTCCAGGAGGAAGAGCAATGAAAAGGGAACCACCCCAGTAACAACCAAGGCCTTATCTCCAAACTCTGCAGAGTTCCCACTGCCTGGAAAAGGAGCTGGAATTGTTCCAAACGCAATCTGGGGGATCCACAGCAGGAGCTGGGCTTGAGAAACCCTGCGGAGAACATGTCACTGTGGGCTCCTGGCCACCCACTGCTGCTCAGATCCCCTCACTCCTCTTGCCCCCACATCCACTCCCTCACAGGGAGGGAGGAGAGTGTGCTGTACCTACCCATTTGCTCCAAGAGCATCCAGAACAGTTCCAGTCTGGATCTGGACACGTTCAAGAGTGCAACTCTGCAATTCCTCTAGTTTCTTTTCCCAACCTTAACTCACATTCACTGTACAACTTTGTTCAATTTTGCTTCCCATGTGTTGCCTTTCTAACCCCAAACAGAAGTCCAGGTTTCAAGCCAGCCACTGTTTTCCACTGTCCCTTTCTCAATCCCTTACACATTTCTTCAGTTCCGATCTCTTCTGTTATCCCCAAAGTCACATCCTTTTAGGAGAGGGATTGGAGAACACAGGCTACAGGGAACAAACACTTTTTTGGGATTTCTCCAGCCTTCCAGTCCAGTTGCAGCCCTTTTTTGGGACTCTCCAGCCCTCCTTCCATGCTGCTCACCTCCACCTCCTCCTCAAGCTGCTGCGTGGCTGCCTCCCGCTCCCTACGCATCCGCTCCTTCCGTGGGACAGGACAGAGCCAGAGCAAAGAGACAAGAGAGAGGGAAAGAGGTCAGACATGCTGGGCAGGAACTCCCAAGGGGATAGAGGAGCAGTGCCAGCACCAGCAGAGGGGGAGCAGAAACTCAGCAAGAATCCTGGGACCAGGGAAGGAGGAGCTGGAATTCTGCACCCACATGATTATCACCAGCAGAATGGACAGGGACCCCGGGACAACATGATCAGGCTGCCACAGTGCAGGAGAAGAGCAGAGGTCCCCAAGATCCTCAGCAGGGACAATCCTGGGGAAAGCTAAGGAAAGCACAAGACACACAAGCACGAAGGGAGAGGAGGGGGTTGCTCATTGCTAGAAGAGACACCTTGACAGAGCAAGAGAGGTTGGAAGGGAATGGAAAAACAAATCTACAGAACACAGGCCTGGCTGTCACCAAGGAAAAAAAGGCCTAAAACCCACATGCTGCTTATAGCATCACATACAGTGATGCAAACACATCAGGGAGGGACAGACCGGTCTCAGCACAAGGCTGGGCCCAGCACAGACCATCAGCCCATGGTCACTCAGCACCGCAGGGACACTACAGTGACCAGGGACTAATCCCGAAAGCCCCAGCCACGGGCTGGCTTCCAGGCTGCAAGAGGAAGGGATCAGTGTGGGACTTGTCCTAAAGACTGAGTTCTGGACGCTGATACCTCTGTGCTTTGCTGCCCAGAGCTGGGGACACAGCAGCAGCATCCTTCCCTTCTCCTGCCTACGGAACCCTCACGGCTGCTCCTCCCAAGCAGGAATCAGACGGTCCAGAAGTCCCGAGGCTCGGAGGCTGAGAGGTGGAAGGCAGCTGACAGGGAGCCAACTGAAAATTCTGCTGAGCACCTGGGCCTTTCTCTCCAACAGCTTCCATGCATCACAGACATCCAGTGTCCCACACTGCCCCCAACCTCCACGGGAGAAGACACTAACGCTCTGGAGGATCACAACTCCCAAAGGGATATGGAGGGATAGTTAAAGTCTATTCTGAATCCAGTTATGCTTAGTTTTGGACAAGTTCTCTGTAGGGTGAGGGTTCCAGGGGACATTAATTTGGTGTATGACCCTTCTGTGAGGCTGTACAGGAGCACTTCTCTGAGGAATGACAGGAGCACCAGCCAGCCCAGATGAAGCTGTGGAATGCTCAAAGTCCATCTCTGACAACATATGGGAAGGATTTGGATTAAGATTAGAAAAATAACTAGAGTCATAGAGCTGGGACAGACAACTACACCAGGAATCAGTCCACGGAGACTTGGAGTTACTGATATTTCTATTAGAAACTGAATTATCAGAGAATTGAAGGCAACAGATGTCTGCAGCAAGTGGGTTTGAAAACCTCTACAGTGAGCAGAGCAAAACCCAAATTCTTCCCAGTTCTTCAGGCTGGAGACACGTTTGGTCTATTGTTCTTGTGCAGGAATCAACACGAATCATTGAAGAGTAAGAAGACATCCAAAAATGGCGACAGAAATTACTGAGAATGTGGCACGGAGGTGGGAACTTCCTTCAGCATTCCAATGGCCCACCATGCAGTGCTGGCTCCACCACTGGGATAAATTTAATCATCAAAACCAGCTTTACAGCACAATCCCAGATTCTAGGTTTAAAAGGCCCAGCAGCAAAACGTGTCTTTGCTCGTGGGCCTCAGTCCATGGATCCCGAGACCTCTGAGGAGCCTGGAGCATCCATTGCTGCCTCCTCCTGACACCCCAAAGGAAGGGGCACTAAAAAATACCAGCATTCTTAAAATGAGACATAGCCAAGGCTACTTCACCAATCATAAATCTTTTTCTATTTTTTTTTTGGCCAAGTACTTTTAAGTAATCTCAGTGTAAATTCTGGCAAAACCTTTCTTTACCTGAGCCTGGACAAATGTCACCTGCTCAGCCCGAGCAGCAGGCTGGGGCCAGACTTGGTTATTCACAGGTGTTAGTAGTACTGATACTGACCCCACATTACCTGAAGTCTCCTGGAGTGTACTCAAATCCATATATCCATATATCTATTTCCAAATCCATATTCAAATGCATATACTGCCAACATAAAACTGGCAGGAAAAGCCTTTGCTCCAACAGAAACACAAAGAAATCAGGTTTGCTGAACCACTCTAAGTTCCTTCTCAGATAAGGAACCAGGTGTTTTATAGGAAAAACCTAAATCTATCTGAATTGGCTCTGCTCTGGGCTGAACCAAGGGCACTGGTGAGGTCCCTCCTACCTAAATTATTCACAGAATCCCAGGATGGTTTGGGTGGGAAGGGACTTTTCAGGGTCATCTACTCCAGCACCTGCAATGAGCAGGGAGTCTCCAACAGGATCAGGCTGAAGCTTATTCTGTAAGGTCGTTCCACTTCCATCAGAACTGCCAACCTCACCCTGCTCTTGTGGGGCAGCAAATGTGAAAAGGCTGAGAAATTGCAGCTGCTGAGAGAACCCAGAGAAACATCAGGTGTGACTGAACTGGAAACCTGATGGAACACCTGCAAAATGTACACACTCATCTGCCAGAGGAGCAGATTCCCAACTGACACCACCAAAGAATTCAGCTTTCTCTCTTCCAAATGCTGACTGGATACATTACTGTTTTAGGAGGGAAACCCCAAGTCCTTGAGGGGCTCGAGTCTGCTGATCTATTTCTGGGCAATTCTACTTCTATTTCAAAGAAATTCTATCTCTATTTCTGTGCAAGGTTGAACCAGTGAGCAGAAACACAAAACTCTCACAGCAAAGCAGAGAAATGACCATGTGAACTGAGGAGCACAAAGCTGTGACTGATTAACAGCGTCACTTCTCCATTCAGGGCAGCTCTGAGCTGTGTGTTCTCATCTTTGCTCACAAAAGCTCTGTCAGGTCATGGGGTACTGGACAGTGAGAACTGATTAAATTTGGGACTTCCAAGTTCATTGGCCATTTTTCTCAAAGCTGCAGCTTGGCCAGGAGGCACCAGCAGGTAACAAGAATGGACTCTGAATACCATAGATGCATCACCAGAGAGGTGCAAAGCCAGAGCAGCTGAGGTAATGGAGCAGTTCTCTACGGAGAGGGAATGCCCAGAGCTGCCCATGGCACTGACAATGGGACTGAGATCCAGAGCTGCCCATGGCACTGACAATGGGACAGAGATCCAGAGCTGCCCATGGCACTGACAACAGGACAGAGATCCAGAGCTCCCCATGGCACTGACAACGGGACAGAGATCCAGAGCTGCCCATGGCACTGACAGTGGGACAGAGATAACCTGTGGCACCTTCCTCAGGGCTCACGGGCTCAGCAGAGTCACTGTCACAAACAGATTTTGCTACACAAAAAATCTCTCACCACTTTCTCCATTTCTTCTCTCTCCCACTGAGTTGCTTCTCTCACCATTTCCATCTCCTAGGAGAGAGCAGAGTTAGAGCCACCTCAACCAGTGCTCTCTCCACACCTGGAGCACCTGGAACCTCAGGAAGGCACCACAGTCCCATCCTAGCGCATTCCTGATCCATGTGCTGGGACCTGCTGATCCCATGCCATGTCCAGTGCCTGTTACGTTGCAGATTCCACGCACCAAGGGAGACTAACTAGAGATTTCCAAAAACTGTTTCCGCTCTCCCAGCTCAGCCAGAACACCCACCTTCTGCAGGATCTCCAGTTCCTCAGGGCTCAAATCCCGGTCAATGGAGGAGATGCTCTCTAGGCTGTTCTTGCGCCCAATGCCAGCAGCAAAAGGGTTTGCGATGATTCCTGGGGACATCTGCAAATCAAAAGGCAAATCTCACCTGGTGGAAGTCCACAGAGTGCCATTCCAAAAATTCCCTATCCCGGGCTCCCAGATATGGAGTACCAGGACAATTCCTGATTGTCAGAACCAGAACTCTTTCATGATTTGAAACCTCATTCCATAGAATCCCAGACTGGTTTGGGTTGGAAGAGACCTTAAGAACACCCAGTTCTACCCCTGTAATTTCAGCTGACAAGTGCTTGAGGATCCTGAGGTCTAAGAAAGACGAGTTTAAATGGACCCAGGCGCAGGAAGGGGATGAGGTGAGCAGGGATTGGGTTCATGTTCTCCTGAAGAATACAAAAGCTGACTAGCTAAGCCTTGAAAACAGAAATCTGAGAGGGGCACAGGATTGTTCCAGGGAAGTGTAACCCTGGAGAAAGGCAAGTGGGGAAAGGCAAACAACAATAAAGAGCCAGACAACTGACTGTAAAGGAAATATTGGCCAGAAAAAAATGGGCACAAATAGCCTGGAGAAAGTGAGCTTGAAAACTTCATTTCAGTGCAGTGCTAGCACGGGACAATTCTGGAACCAGCAGGAACGAGACAGTCCTGAGGGACCACTGCTTTTGTGGACTGGCAACCACCTCCAGTTCATATCACAGGTCAGACTGAAATCTGGGACCTCAAAAAACATCTACAGCAAAAGGTTGGGAAAACCCAGCATTCTGTGAAGAAAGAGGAAGGATCCATGTGGGGGATCCTGGTCACTCCAAGGGCCACCCGCACTCCAGCCCTCACCTCGATGGCAGCTGCAGCCTTGGGGTCGAAGCCGTCACACACCAGCACGAGGAGCGCGTCGCCCACCCCTCGGAGGATCTGCACCGCTTCCGTGTGCGTCATTCCCAGCAGGCTCTGGTGATTCACCTCCAGGATCCGCATCCCCACCTTCAGGCGGCCGTCCCGGGCCGCGGCCCCGGAGGAGCTCACCTGGAACAAACCGGGGAGTCACGGTGTCACTGGAGAGGTGACAGAGGAGATCAGAGAGCACGGGGACCAGAGCGAGAGGGGACAGCACACACAGGGAACAGTGAGCCAGGGAAAGCATCTGCAAGTACTGCTGTAGACTGATGGAGAGAGGAGGGGAGGAAGAACCTGTGCAGGCTGGCAGAAAAAACAGGTGTGGAAGAATCTCTTATGGGAGATAAAAGAATGTGAATTTGAAATGTGTTGTCCCAAGGAAACAAACTGCTTTGGCTTTGCCAGTGAAGTGGGTGAGAAGGAAAAGGTCTCAAATCATGATGGATCTCAGAAAGGGAAATCATTGTTTGGTGGGAGAGAGACACAATGGAAATGCAAATGAAGACAAACTAAGGAGGAAGTAGGCAGGGATCAGACAGGCAAAGAGGAGGAAGAAGAAAAGCATCACTTTTGTATCTCTGTTAGTGGAAATACACAGGGAAAATCAGAGGCAGGAACTCCACTCTGGATAGGACAGATAAGAGAGGCTGAGGGGAGTAACACAGCTGAGGGGAGAGCAGAGCCATTCGGGGCTTTGGTTCTCTGCAGGTTAAAACAACCAGTATTGCGAAAAAAGGGGAGGGAGGTGAACTAACCCTCTACTGTGGCTAAACTGTGACCCTTCCAACCCCCAAATGCTGCAATGCTGTGAGAGAGAAAACCAAACCCAATCCTTAAAAACAACCGTCAGTTACAATAATCCCAGGTTTTCTTTTCCTGCTATTGCAAATGTCTCAGGTGAAAGTGCAACTGTCGCTCCAACAGAGGGAATTTAAATTCACTCTTTTAACTTTAGAACCCAGATAAAGCAGTTACAGCCATGTAATGAAAAATGCTGTATGTTCCCTTGCCTTGAGTGCAGCCAACTATCAATTATCAGGGCTGACTGGCAATTATGGAGTGTCCCCAGCCAGGAGGATGATTTACATCAGTCGCTACCCCACAAGACCAGTTAAAGAGGGAACCAGTGATACCAAGGTGAACCAGAGTCTTTGAACCACAAAGGAGACTCAGAGTCTCCTTTGCCACCAGCAAGACCCACTTATTAAAATGACACCACTTATTACTGTGCTCCACTGCCAGCAAGGAAGAAGAGGTCATAAAAACCTTTTGGAAAGGGTTGGGAGGAGCATAAGCTGATGCACAGTTCAACAAGAAAACACGTGTTACTTCTGGGGGAAAAGTGATATGAGAAATAAGTGTGACACAAGCAGTCACTTACAAAGGGAACAAAGTTGCACACAGGGTTCGTGGCAATTCCTGATGCTTCCCATGGAAGGAGGGAAGAACTCATGAGTCGGGGGGGGGGGGGGGGGGGCAGGAAGACACACGCATGTGGGAAGCAACAGGAATGTGGGGAAAAGGAAGGATGTGTGGGTTCACGTTACAGAAAAAACGTAAGAGAGGAAACACAAGGCAAAATAAAGGCAAACAGGAAATGGAAGAAGAAATGGTGTAGCTGTTGTAGAGGAGGAAATATGAAAGGACAGGGATTTGCCTCCTTAGGTGGAGGAAGAGTGTCTAGAACTGCTGCACCAGTGAAAGCAGACAGAGCACACCCAACAGATGCCCCAGGGATCACCCTTCTCCCTGGCAGCCCTCGCATGGCCCCGACCTGCAGAGTTAATGCTCTTGGTACCTTGGAAATGAAGATGCCTTCATCGGTGGGATCAAACGGATTGCCAGCATGGCCCTTGGCTCCACCCCGGATGCTGATGCCCAGCTTCTCTCCTGGAGCCTTTTCAATGCATATTTCCTGGAAACACAGAAAAGTGTTCTTGTTTCTGGGACAAGATCGTGCTGGGATAGCTGGGGGAACACTCCTCGGAGTGGCCATATTCTGAAAGCCCTGAAGAGGGCCTGAATTAATCCTGCCCCTCACTCGGCAGTTTGTTCCCTTTGGTGAGGCTCTGCCCACTTCTGTTCCCTGCTCAGGTGTGGTCTTCACGGAATCTGGTCATTCTCTGATGACAGTCACCACGGGCATGGCAAGAGACCCTCACCACTCCCCCACTGGAAATATGCTTACAAGAGACTGGATCCTTCCAAAGGAGAAGGAAATTCCAGCCAGGAGTCTGGTTGTGTCCTAGTCCCAGACCTCCAGCCAGGTAAGGAACGGCCTCCAGAAGTGACCCTGTGTGATTGCCCCCAGTCCTGTCCCTCAGAACCCACCTGCATGCCAGGCGGAGGCGGGTCCCTCCGGACCAGCATGGTGAGCTCCTGGGCGTTGGAGAGCAGCGCGTTCACCGCTTCCTGGTGGGTGGCGTGGCGCAGGTCGATGCCGTTCACCTCCAGGATCCTGTCCCCGACGCGGAGCCCGCTGCGCGACGCCAGCCCCCGGGGAATGACCTGCAGAGAACCATCAGCACAACTGGAGAAGGGAATTCCATCTTTCCTTGGAGATATGACTGTGTCCCTGGCCGTCCTCCCACACCCTCCAGGCCTGTTTTGACTCCTCTCTCTGCAGCCAAAGTTCCCCAAGAGGTGACATATCTGTGAACACTGGCAAAGAATGAAGTGGGATTTGCTTTGAACTGTCATTCCGTATGTTATTCTCATATTCCCAGTTTTACCTGAACCAAACCTGTTCCAGCTTTGCCATTTTTTTGTCCGTGACTGTAACCAAGACTGACAGCACCAGTACAACTCCAGCCCTCACCCAGTGCTCTCCTGTCACCCAGGGGATCCTGAGAGCTACAGAGGGACTAACCATGGCACCAAACCTCTGTTTCTGGTAAAACAAAGGAGTCAGCAAGGAAAGGCTGACATCTGTGAGCACGTGGGCAAGCAGGGATGGTGGGAAAAAGTTAGTTTGGCTTTGGGAAGAGCAAATCCTGCTCCACTGACCTGCTGAAGTGCTGCAAGAGGAACAATGGGCACGTGAAGGAAGGGATCTGGCAGGCATCACTTCTTGAATTCCAAATAGCCCTTAACAAGGTCTGAACCTTGACTCCCAGCCACAGGTGTTAGAGGAGACAGATTCAGCATCTCCATGGGACAAGAGATGTTGGGAAGCAGAAAGGGTTGGGCAGGGATGTCCTCTCCAGCATCCCTAATCCAAGGAGCATGGATGTGCAGGACTGTGAGGGAATGGCTTACAGCCAGTGACTGGCCTGTGTGCTGTCCCTAAATGGCATCAGCTGATGTCACCACTGGAACGGGAACTGGGGTCGAAGGGCATTGGCCTGAGTGCAGCAGAGCAGTTCTGGGTGTCCCTGCACTCACACACTCATCCCACCAGTGATGACTGGCTTTCTGCAATGCCAGCATTTTCCCACGACTCACTAAAGCCAAGAGGAGCTCAGCAATTTCAGAAGCTAACTGGGATCCCTCCAAAGAGTTTGGCAGAGATTACACAGGTTTGAGGCTTGTATGTGCCCTGAGGTGGCTCCAGCAGCAGCAGCACATCCAGGTACAACCCTTCACACATCCCCCTCCCATCCCTTTATTTCATAAATCCGTCCTATACTTCTGGACTTGCATCAAAACCTTTCACCTTAACCCCAATAATCCAACAGCTCAGGGCTGGGCGGCTCTCCTGGGTCTCTACCTTGGAGATGAAGACCCCTGGCTCATGAATCCCAAAGGGATGGCTGGAATGGTCACTGCCTCCGACGATGCTGAGGCCCAGGGGACCACCCGCTTTCACCAGATGAATTTCCTTGAGGGAACAAGAAAAAGAGTCAAAGGGAATGAGGGATAGCACATACAGACCTCAAACATTAAAAAATATGGAATCAGGGGTGTTTTGAAGGGTGAACACCCGCAAGACAAGTTTCCCCATGTCGGACAGTGCAGCCTGGAGAAGAGCTGGAAGGGGTTCCAGGAGAGCTGGAGAGGGACTTTGGACAAGGACCTGGAGTGACAGGACAAGGGGGAATGGCTTCACACAGACAGAAGGCAAAGTAAGATGGGATACTGGGGAGAAATCCTTCCCTATAAGGGTGGGGAGGCCCTGGCACAGGTTGCCCAGAGAAGCTGTGGCTGCCCCATCCCTGTGGAAGTGTTCAAGGCCAGGCTGGATACAGCTTGGAGCAACCTGGGCTAGTGGAAGGTGTCCCTGCCCATGGCAAGGGGTGCAAATGGATGGGCTTTCAGGTCCCTTGCACCCCAAGCTTTTCTATGATGACTTCTCCACGCCCCGAGAACCCAGTGGGCCAACCCCCATCCCAACACCACTTTTCAAATGAAACCCACCCGGGACTGCACTGTCCCGTGTCCCCAGGCGCAGCTCACCTCGATGGGGTACTGATCCTCCAGCCCTTTGGAGAGGTGGTTCCTCTGCGGCGCGGGCGTCTCCTCGGGCGGGCTGTCCCCGGGGCCGGGGGGCGGCGGGGGGGAGTGCATGCGCACGCGGGGCGCGCCGGGCGAGGCTCCCTCGCCGGGCTGCTCCGAGCCCTCTCTCTCTACCAGCAGCACGATGGTGGGGGAGGCCGCGGTAAGCAGCGCTACGGCCTGATCATGCCTGGCTTCTGTCATGTCTACCCCATTGATCTAGAACAACCCGCAAACTCCGTGTCAGACCATCGCCCGGCACCTCCCGGCGTTCCGGCGCTCAGCCAAGCCCCCGAGGGACCCCATCCTGCTGGAACACGGCCCTGGCTCAAAGGCCTGTGCCCCCAAGCACCTTCTAACTCACCCTGCTCCCTCCTACCTGGCACAGGGACATAGGTGCCTGCTCATCCCTGCCGGATCCCAATCCCCTTCCTAGACAGCTTTCCTGCCCCTTTCCCACCTTCCCTATGCACATAGTGCCCTGCAGCACCACTGATGCTCCAGGGACCCCACAGGCCACGTGTGATGCTCCACCTCCTGTACCCCCACAAACCCAGCTGGGCCTGGGGTTTGCTGCAGCTCACCCAGGAGAACACCCAACACTCCCTGGCCTTCCATCCCAGCCTCCCACTGGGACAAGAGGCTGCAGTAAAGGAATGGGGCCAAACACCTCAACATGGAAGAAACCAAAACAGTGATTTTCAGCCACGATGCCACAAAACATCGATGTGCTGGGGCACCTGCTGCATTGTCACCGGGCCACCTGACCTTATCAGCCACCCAAAGCCCAGACACAGCCACTGAAGGCTGACTGGACCTGTCACTGGTCACCCAGCCACTGGTGGCCACCTGTGCTGGGCAAGGTCATGGCAGCCTGGGGGAGATATAGCTCTAAGGCATCAAAAGTGACCCCAGGTACAGAGAGACCAGGAAGCACTGGGAGCCTTTCCTACAAAATTAAAACAGCTTCCCATGAAACTCAAAGGACCAGAGGAATGCAACTGTTCTCCACAAATGTATGAGAGGCAGAAAACCAAGAGCCAAGCTGGAAGAACACTGCCCAAAGGACAAAACTTGCCAGGAGAAAGTTGAAGCTGAAAATTAAAAGGTTTCTAGTCATTAGGTTCTGGAAAAGCTTTCCAAAATGAACAAGGACATGAAACCAGCAAGATGGGGTTTGATTAGCTCATGAAATAGTGTGACTGTAATAGCCACAGCATCTGGGCTTTGTAGCCCAGTTCCTCACAGCCTGATTCCCAAATATCGTTACTCCCCAGCTCCTTCCCAGAGAGCAGTTCCTGCACTGAGCAGACACACACAGTCTGACAGGGTTTTGTCCAGAACCCCAAAGACACTCCCAGCACTCACCCGACAGGCCCTGTCCCCACCCACAGCCACAGGTGCTGCTCCCACTGTGACAGGGAAGGAGAACCACAAGCAGTCCTGTGCTGTGCTGGAAAATCTGAGCCCCGAGTGTCACCTCTGCTGAGGGGACTGTCCTCATGGGACACCTCTGGCACCAACCAGAAGGATGTGAAGGCAGCAACTGGCACACGCCCATGGGAAGAGGAAGGATGAAAAGGACCTGGGTGGTGGCTACTGAGCACAGGAGACAAGGCAGCAAGCAGGAAAGGTAATAAATTAACCATAAAGGTGCACAGACCTTAATGGAATGCAAGTAGCAGAGACAGGGCTTGAACACTCCTGGATGGACCATCGAAGGAATCACCCACGTTAGAGAAGTGTAACCAAACTTGGCAACCCATCCAGAGAGGTAGTGGAGATTATGAAAGGTTATCTCAGCACAGCTCTTGTGGAAAGGGCCAACTGGCTGCAGGAAGCTTCAAGGTGGGTTGTGGGAACGTGCATCACTTATTATGGAATGTTTTCCAAAAGGGAAAGGGGACTGGTCCAGGACGAAAGAGGAGGAACTAGCACAGGGAAATGCTGAGGGTGGAGAACAAGAGGCTGCTGGTCGGTGCCGCTGTGGCCAAGCCCTGGGCCTGCTCATCACATCTGCTCTGCCCTCTCCCCGCATTCTGTATTTACTGTGCCAGTTCATGCTGTTCTGGGTACGTGTGTGAGAGCTACTGGTAAAATTCAAGCTGGACTAGCCAGCAAGCAGGAATCCAAAAGGTGGTGAGAGCCAAGAGCTGGTCCAGAAGCTGGATGAAAGGCTCAGGGTCTGACCAAAGAGCCCCAAAGACCTCAATGCTTAGGCTGCAGGCTGGAGACCTACAGACATGAGCATTTCCCTGAGAGAGGCAGGGAATGTGTGCCCATTCCACCAGCAAACCCGATGAGCTGGCAGGCAGGACCTGGGGGAAGCTGGCTGTTGTTCCTGCCCCGTGAAGACTCCCTGTGCTCAGCTGTGCACCTGTAAGGGCACTGCCCCCCTTCCTGCTTGTGTGAATCTGGGGCCAGCTGTGTCTGCAGTGTGTTCCACCTTTGGAATCTGCACTTACCCCTGCTGATGGCTGGACCTGGGAGCAGGGAAAGTGGCAGCCATGTGCCCAGAAGAGTGGGAAGGGAGGATCCCTTGGGTCCTCAAATGGTTAACAAAGGTGACACGCAGGAGAGACTCGGCCTTTGGGTTCTATTACCAGATCAAGGCCCAACAAAATCACTGAACTGGAACAAGATGATCTTTAAGATCCCTTCTAACCCAAGCCTTGCTCTGACTCTGTGACTCTACAGTGATACTCCACAGACAGACCTGCTCCAGCATCACCCACTCTTGATTTCTCACATCCCCTCTGCTATTTTCCTGTCCCTGACATGATGAGAGTGGTCAAAGGGGCTCAGACCAGAAGGGCTCAGCGGTACCTCCCTAGAACAGGGATCAGGGCACAGGACTCCCAGAGTCAGAGGTGTATTGTGTGACAGCCCTTGATGCACTTCACCCAGTAATTCTGCATTACCTGGCAAAGCTGGAGCCCTCCCAGCCTTTAGGCAGCTCATTTTCCATGGCCTTTATCTAGCTGCCATGCAGCGCAGCTTTCTGAGTGTCCAAGAGGAAGGGACAGCATCTCTGTCCTTTCCCTGCTCCACACACTTCTCTGTGTGCCAGGAAATTATATTATTCTGACAAATCTCTCAGGGATCAAACTGCCTCATCAGGACTCCACATGTCACCTACCACTGTCCTAAATCTCCCCAGAATCAGTTTTCTTTAATCTACTCCCAGTCCCATTCAAAAACACCAGATGTCCCTAGTGACTGCTCCCAATTCTGCACCTTCCCTGCTAGATTCCCAACCCACAACTCCAACTCTCTGACATTGCCCCCAGCAGCTCCCTGCCCCATGTCTTCCCCCACCAAAAGGACTCCCAAGAGACATGGGAACACGGGGAAGTTGGGGAGTGAGTGTCACTCACTGGGGAATTTTGGGGGGTGTTAACTCGGAGAGGAGACCTAGGCTGGGCTCTTCATCCATGTGCTCAAAGCTCCCTTAGGAAAGTCAAAGGAGCAATTCTGGTCCTTCCCCTGCAGAAGGCTCCAGGAGGGTTTAGAGCACAGGGGAAGAGCAGGATGCTGTGCTGTATTTGTTTTCCTAAGAAAACAGAAGTGAGAGCTGAGGCCATGCCCAGGAGACCACGGCTTTGGAAATAGGCCCTGCCTGTGGGACCCACGAGCCCAGTACCTAGCGAGGGCCCTCCTCTTCCCCATGCAGGTACAGGGAACACACGCAGCCTGCACCCACACCCCAGGAATCACTGCAGCCTGGAGCCTTTCCAACCAAAATGGGCAACCACTGCTTCAAAAGGGTGCGGAAAGCAGGCTCGGAAGTTGCGGGAATAGTCCGGTGAGTGTTCTCCTGGAAAGCAGTGACCTGCTCCTGCATTAATCAGAGCTGAGCACAGGACCTGAACTGCAGCTGGTGCTCAGCACCAAACCTGTATGGCCACATTCACCTGGTACAGGTACCGAGGGGACCCCACGGGAGTGTTGGGACTAATGACAGCAAGGCCTCAGCCACATCAAAATCCAGCACAGGCCCCAAGCCTTCTAAGCCCTGAGCCCACACAGCCTGCTTGGAATTCTCTGCAGGCTATTACTAGGGAATTAGATCTGCTTTTCCTACAAAGCTGCCCACGGATATAAATAGAGCTGGTGAAGGGGGGTGGAGACAGGTTTGACTTTTGACTCTGAGATTTTCTCTCTTCTTGCCACAGATAGAGCAAACCAACCCCAAATGCTGGGCCTAAGTCCTGCCTCTGTACCAGGGAGCATTAAAACACGAACAAACCCAAAACAATTTAGCCTATGTGGCACCGATCAGGATCAGGGCTTGAGTTTAAGAGGAGTGGGGAGTTCTAGCAGGAAGGGAGTGATGCTGTACCAGTTGAAGTCTCCTGCCAAGACACTAATGTGGGACCTGGGCCTGAGCTCCACTGAAACGTGCCCAAGCAAATACAACACAGTCCCAGCCCAGGGATAGAGCAGACAGAAGCCAGCACTGACGAGGCTGTATCAGTGTTTACTCACGCCAGCGCTGTGGTAACACGTGCTCTTACCACAGCAGCTGGGCCAGAAACCCACCACCAGCACCAGGATGCAGGAGCTTTCCCTCGGAGGCAGCATGCGAGCGTGGGAAGAGGGTCGGGAGGCTCAGGAGAGGCTCCCTGGAGGAGGGGAGCGAGGGACAGTAGGCAGAGACACGAGGTTAGAGCAGCGAGACCCGCACGGACAGGATGAGAAACGGGCCAGAGCTGCGAGTGAAGCAGGGAAGCACCGAGCTACCCCTGCCCTGCTCCACAGCACCCTCGGGCAGACGCCTCTGCTCCAGCTCACGGCTCGCGCTGACCCCACTGTGCCCGAAAAGGCTCTATCCCTTCTACTCGCCAAGGCAGAGCCCCCTCGGGCTGTCCCCCAAGCTCTGGAGGGACACCAGGCTGGGGCAGTGCTGCCATGTCACCTCTCTCCATGCCGTCCCTGGGGGAAGCACTCACACACAGCCTTTGGGGAAAGGGGAGGTGTAACTGCACCCACCAACTGTCATGGACCGGGTAAAACCACCCACGTTAAATGCTCCCCCAAAAGGCTCAGGAGCTGAAAAAAGGCCCCCCAAAATCCAGCTTCAGTGCCAGAAAAGCAGCTCCTGCATGAGAGAGGGCACAGAGCTGAGTCAGCCCCTTCCCTGCACACCCACTCACCGAGATGACCCGGTCTCCGATGTGCAGGATTCCGTCCCGGTGGGCTGCACCACCCTCTGCGATCCGGGAGATGAAGATCCCCTGCAGCACAGTCAGGAGGGTCAGAGCAGCCTGGGCTTCCTCTTCACCTGGGCCTGGCTCTCTAGACCCGTTCCTGGGTGCCAGGCAGGTCCCAGCCCTCTCCCCTCCACAGACCCTTCCCCTGCCCTGGTGCTTCCCGTTTGTTCTCCACTCCACAAACTCTCCGCTCCCAGAGCCACTGTCAGCAAAGCCTTCCCGTGGCCCAGAGCCTGGAATATGTGCCAAGAGGGCAGCAGCAGGATTAGATGTCACTGGCAGAGATCGGAAGCCCCAGCCCCCCTCCTTCTATAAAAAAAGAGGGAGAGGGACTTTGGACAAGGGCCTGGAGTGACAGAACAAGAGGGAATGGCTTCACACTGACAGAGGGCAGGGTTAGATGGGATATTGGGAAGATATTCCTCCCTATAAGGATAGTGAGGTCCTGACACAGGTTGCCCAGAGAAGCTGTGGCTGCTCCACTCCTGGAAGTGTCCAAGGCCAGGTTGGATGGGGCTCGGAGCAAGCTGGGATAGTGGAAGGTGTCCCCACCCATGGCAGGGAGGCGGAACGAGGTGAGCTTTTAGGTCCCTTCCCACCCAATCCATTCTGGGATTCCATGATTCCCTGACTTCCCTGGCTCTCAGAGTCCAGCTAGCCCACCAGCCCAGGGCCAATGCTGCATACCCAGGGGTGAGGAAGACTCAGGGATGCCAGGGGATCAGGACTGACCGTGTCCCCAGCCCGGTAGGGAGTGGAGCCCTTGCCGCCGGCGATGCTGAAGCCCAGGCCCTTCTCGTTGCGCATGAGGCAGGTGGAATATCTCTCGGTGGCAGGGGCTCCCTCGGGGCGCTCGGGGAAGCGCAGCCCCCCGCGCCGCTCCCGGGGGCTGTAGTCATCCTCGGGGCGCAGCGGAGTGACAGTGATGGCGTTCTCTGGCTCCACCATCCGCTCCCGCAGCACCGTCATGGACACGGAGCTTCCCGAGCCTCGCAGCGCTTCCACGGCCACGTGATGCTCAGCACAGTGCAGGGACACGCCGTTCACCTGGGCACAGAGCAGGGACAGCCCTCACCTCACACACAGCTCCAGCCTCAGCCCCTGCAGAGCCGGGCTGGCACCCTGTTCCCACAGGTGTGCCCGCACCTCCAAGGAGCTTCCCTACATCCCACAGCACCTGCTGCCCGTCCAAGGCCAGGGCAGCCCAGTAAAATCCCTTTCAGAGGAATGCTCCCCTCACAGGGAGCTCCAACTTCCCTACACCTGTATGAACCCTGCAGGCAACAAGCTCCTAGAAAAACACACCCACCCAGGACCATCTCCACCAATAAAACTCAGCACAACTCAGGTCGACACAACTTCTTGTTCGCCTTCCTCACACCCTGCTCACACCCCAAAACACGCAGAGCTGCCAATGGGACAGTCCCTTGGTGTGGGAAAGGCCATGGAGCAGATCTGGAGTGTGGCACGTACAGGGGAACCAGAGGATCAGGCCCAGCCAGCCCGGGGTTGTGATAGGTAGGTTCTGCCTGACCAACCTGATCTCCTTCTATGACCAGGTGACCCACTCAGTGGGTGAGGGAAAGGCTGTGGATGTGTCTGTCTGGACTTTGGCAAAGCTTTTGATGTCGTGTCCCACAACATTCTCCTGAGAAACTGGCTGCTCGTGAGCCAGTGTGTGCCCAGGTGGGCAAGAAAACCAATGACATCTGGCCTGTACCAGCCATGGTGTGACCACAGGCCCAGGACAGTTCTTGTCCCCCTGTGCTGGCACTGCCAAGGCATCTCCAACCCCAGGGTCAGTTTTGGGCCCCTCACAAAAAGAAGGACATTGAGGGGCTGGAGCATGTCCAGGAAAGAGAACGGAGCTGGGGCAGGGACTGGAGCACCAGGAGCAGCTGAGGGAGCTGGGGGGGCTCAGCCTGGAGAAAAGGAGGCTCGGGGGGACCTTAGAGCCCCTTCCAGTACTTAATGGGGCTCCAAGAAAGGTGGAGGGGATCTTTGGACATGGGCCTGGCACGACAGATGATGGGGGAATGGCTTCCCACTGAAAGAGGGCAGGGTTAGGTGGGATATTAGGAAGGAATTCTTCCCTGTGAGGGTGGTGAGGCACTGGAATAGGTTACCCAGAGAAGCTGCCTGTGGCCACCCCATCCCTGGAAGTGTCCAAGGCCAGGTTGGGCATGGCTTGGAGCAACCTGGTCTAGTGGAAGGTTTCCCTAGGCATGGCAGGGGGTGGAACTGGGTGGGCTTTAAGGTCCCTTCCCACCCAAACCATTCCATGATTCCACGATTCTATGAAGACAGACATGGCTCCCTGAGTAAGAAGTTATTCTACAGGGTCTACTTTTGCCCCTCCCAGGTGTGCAGAGCTCAGCCCACTGGAGATATGTTTTTTCCCACCTGCATCACACAACACTTCAGAGCTGGAAATGCAGGAGTTGTTCTGTCCTTATAAAGCAGTAAAAAATTCACAGTAACATTAATTAATCAACTATGAGCCAGAGGAATTCGGTTTTGCTCTTGCACAGCTCCTGATGCTTAATTTGGCCTAAAACGTGTGTGATGCGCATCTTCTCCCTCCACTCCAAGTCGTCTAGAACCATTTGCTTTGTCACAGGAGCCAGGCCCTTACCTCCAGAAGCTTGTCCCCAACACGGACCCCTGCGCGAGCAGCAGGACCCTCGTCGGACACACGGGAAATAAAGATGCCCTGGAAACAAAACCACCTGTTATAGGTCGAGCCCATTCCTCAACCCTCTGGAGTGCAGAGACCCCCTCCAACCCCTCAGCTCCAGGGAGAGGGTCAGTCCCTGGCCAGTCCTGGCATGTCCCCCCCTGACGTGGGGACATGGCAGTCACATCACCCCCTTCAGGAGCTGGGAAAAGGGGACAGAAACCCACTGCAGGGCTACCCCCAGGTGACACAGGGGATAGAACTTCCCTCCAGGTGACACAGAGGACAGAGACCCTACGGCAGGGCTACCCCTAGGTGACACAGGAGAACAGGGAATGACATGTTAACCCTTTGCCAGCGGGACCAGAACACGACACAGCTGATACCACTAGGTGTGGAACAACCCTGTACTCTTTGCCCTGTGAGTCCCATGCCTCAGGACACAGGTGGGAAGGAACCTGCTGCTCCCACGGCCGCTCCAAGTCGGACCAACCAGTCCCACCAGCTTCCTGCTGTGGGGGGATCCAGGGCTGCTCCCACCTGGCCCCGACACATATGGACACCCAACCTCCAGCTACAGAGAACCAGTCCCCAAAAGCAGGTGCCTCACCAGTGACACAGCTCAGGTCTTACCTCATCGTCCCCCTTATAGGGGGTGGAGCCCTTGCCCCCCGCGATGCTGATGCCCAGCCCCCCCGTCTGCCGCACGATGGTCAGTGTCAGCTGCAAGCAGAAGGGACAGTGGTTACGGGTCAGTGCGGAGCAGGGAGCGGCCACAACACCTCCAAGAGCAAGGGACGACTTTTAAAATGATAAATAATAACCCCGAGTGGTCTGCTTGCACATTGGGTCAGCCATGGAACCTGTGCGTGAGCCGTGGCACCTCTGGGTGAGTTGTGGCACCTCTGGGTGAGCCGTGGCACCTCTGGGTGAGTTGTGGCACCTCTGGGTGAGCCGTGGCACCTCTGGGTGAGTTGTGGCACCTCTGGGTGAGCCGTGGCACCTCTGGGTGAGCTGTGGCACCTCTGGGTGAGCCGTGGCACCCGTGTCTCAGAGGCACCACTGTCACAACACATGAAACACACAAATCCCTTGCTGTGGCTGAGTCCTGACCCAACAGTCAGTTTGCCCACAGTGGACACATCGGAAGGACATTCCACCACAGAGCAAACTGGGCAGCCTTGGGCTGGGACTGGATCACAGAACCAGCTGGTTCACATCACAGCCCGGCTCTACCACAGGGCTCCCTTTAGGTGTAATTCCATGTGCCACTGGGGGATTCCAGGTCACCCCGGTGTGCAGTGACAAGGAGGGCACTTCATCCAGAATACTCTGAATGGATACTTGGCTTTGCTGTATTGATGGAAATCAACACATGACTCCAAAAACCCATCTGCTCTGTCCAGCGGGCTCCTTCCTCTGCTCTCCTCTGCCCCGCTGCTCAGGATCGCAGCTGAGCAATCCAGAAGTCTCTTCTCCTTCCTGCCTCCCACCTCTACATACCCAATTATGTGCATTGCCAATAGTTGGTCAAACTTGACCTGAAGCTGCTTCTATTCAGGACACCAGCATGAACCATTCACATTGCCATAGTCATGAGAAGGAAGACAGGGAGCACGTGGTAGGATACAGGAAAAGGAACAGGACAGACAGGACTCTCTCAGGGTCAAGGACCAAGGAGCTGGTGAGGTAAGAGACAGAAACATGCACAGACTCCTGGTGAGAATCAAATTTGCTGTCCTCCAGATGTCACCTCTCTGGAAACAAGGCCCAGGATGGAGAGCAGCTGCTGCAGAGGAGTCGAGTGTCAGTGTCAGCTTCACGTGGCCACAGTGTGGGCAGCAAAGGGAGCAGGAGACTTGCCTTCCTTAACCCCTCCCTTCCAACCCCCCCTCACCTGTACACTGGGATCTTCCTATGGAAATCCCCAATTCCAGACTCACTGCCAGTCTGTCATCTCCAGTGCAAGACCCAGAGACTGGGTGAATACTGGAAGACAAGGATTGTCAAGGTGAGACATAAATGGGGTAGTGACGAGACAGCACTGTGTGTCCTCGACAGCCCAACTCAAACCAGCTCCAGACCAGGCAAATGCTTCTTACGTGACAAAGTCTTTTAGGAACTAATGACAAAATCCACATTTTTCCTTCCAGACTCACTGGATTTTAGAAGTGCTCTAAAGACTCACATTTGTGTTTTTCAAGGAGCACTCAGAAAACACCCTCAGGTACATGGTGGGATTTTGGGATTGTCCTGTGCAGGGCCGGGAGCTGGACTTGATGACCCTGGTGGTAAGGAGATTCTGTGATTCTGTATTTAACACAAAAACTTCTACAGACGATGGAAAACCAGGTCTCCAGGCAAGAATTACAGAATAGTCTAATAGCAGGATCCTGGTATTTCCCAGGAAGACAGCTGATGGTTCTCCTTAGTGCCTGAATCCATGGGACAGGATCATGACTTCTGATGAGGACTGAGGACTGTACAATGTCACTGGTCACAGAAAGTCACTTCCAGCTGCACGGGAAGCTGACTGTGTAAACTGCCTGAAAGATAAACCACAAACTCCCTGATTTCACACATTCAGGAAACCAGACCAAAAACATGGGGAAACCTGTCAGAAAAGCCAACTGGCCCGAGGGGGAAGAACCTTCTGTCCATCTGTGTATATTGAAAAGCAAAACACCAAGCAGGAACCAGACTTGTTAAAGACACTGAGACAACAGCAGCTTCAATTGGCTTCAAGTGGATGTAAATATATTTAGGCTGGAAAGAAGATTTCAAACTCCCCAGGCAAACCAGTTTTACCATAGAACCAGTGTGGTGAGGAACCGAACTGGTGGATATTTGTCTGAACTATGCAAAGAGTAACTGATGTGAATATGAACCTGAGCAGGAAGGTCTTGGATTCAGCAGCCTGTAATGGCCCTTCACATTACAGGCCAGTCTGCTTCTTGCACTGAACCCAGAAGTTATTTGTTCTCCAAAGCTCCTCTGTCCTAAGGCTGCTTCAGACCTGCCTGGACTGCCACGATATTGGACTGACCCTGGAGCCACAAAGCAGAGCTACCCCCCAACAGGGACAGCTCAGCTCCCTCTCTGCCATCGCTCTTTCCTGGGCATTTTCCTCCTTCTGTATTTTTCCCCCAGAGCTAGGGATCCACCCACAGCCCATCCCAGATGTAACAACTGATCTGTGCTGCTCCCCACCAAAACTTGCTGCAGAAGGGACAAACCTTCATGAAGTGGGCAGCAAACCCTGAGTTCCTTGTTCCCCCAGACAGACAAGGTCCAGCCCTTCGTGGAAAAATGCTGCTGTGAGAGAAGTGGGCAAATTGCAAAAGCTGCCACGACAGCCTCGAGCCGCCATCCCTCGCTGAGCTCCCACTGGGAACCCATTCACCAAAGGCACCAAACATGATCCAGGAAGCATTTCCACCTCCTCCCCTCAGTCCTGCCTGTGTCTCTCCAGGGACACATCAAGCAAGGACTGGGGCCACCTCAAACCAGTTTGCATCCAGTTTTTAGTACAGGTGTCCTTTAACACGGAATCATGGAACGGTTTGTGTGGGAAGGGACCAAAAACCAAACCACCTAGTCCCACCCTCTGCCATGGGCAGGGATGCCTTCCACCAGACCAGGTTGCTCCAAGCCTCGCCCAACCTGCCCTCAAATGCTTCCAGAGATGGGGCAGCCCCAGCTTCTCTGTGAATGGATCCACTTGATCCTGCAAGATTTCCCACCTTTCAGGGAATAACTGTATACACCGCTCTGGAGGCACCAGAAGTGCTGCTCACCTGGACAGACTCACTTTCCAGTAGCAGTCAGGGACACCTGGGCATTGCCCAACAGACCTGAGACAGTCCAAATTCACTGCTGTGCAACTGCCTGCTGGGGATTCCTGTGACACATCCCATCCCCGAGACAAAGCTTGGAGCTGTTGTAATTCAGAGCTGCTGAAAGACCAAGTTCTTCCTCCACATGCACTCGTGGGTTCAAGGACTAGAGAAGACAGCAAGTTTCTGCCAAGCAGGGCGTCGATTTGTAACTCACTGTACACGGGGATGCACATAACTGGGGTCACTGTCGGGCCCCTTGTGACAAGAAAGACACGGAGGGGCTGGAGCGTGTCCAGGGAAGGGAACGGAGCTGGGAAGGGGCTGGAGCAGCAGGAGCAGCTGAGGGAGCTGGGGGGGCTCAGCCTGGACAAAAGGAGGCTCAGGGGGGACCTTCTGGCTCTGCAACCCCCTGACAGGAGGGGGGAGCCAAGTGGGGGCCAGGCTCTGCTCCCAGGGAACAAGGGACAGGACTAGAGGAAGTGGTCTCAAGTTGCACCTGGGGAGGTTTAGGTCTGATATCAGGAAAATTCCTTCCCAGAAAGGCCTGTCCCAGCCTGGCACAGGCTGCCCAGGGTAGTGTTGGAGTCCCCATTGCTGGAAGTGTTCAAAAAACATGGGGATGTGGCACTTGGGGACATGGTTTAGTGGTGAACATGGTGGTAGTGCTGGGTTGATGGTTGGACTTGATGATCTTAACAGTCTTTTCCAACCTTAATGATTCCATGGCTCTAAGTGTCCAATCCCTGCATTTACAGCCCCTGAAACTTTAAATGAGACTGTGACAGTGACACAGGAAACTGCAATAAACACTTTGGATTTGTGTAGGGACAGACACGTGATGATGGACACGTATCACATGAAGGTGAGGGATCCCACTGAAACAGCAGCTGAAGAATCCACTTATAGTATCATCAATAACCTTTTCAAAATTCAAAAGGACTGGACAACTTGTGCCCAAGAGTCCAAACAGCTGAATTTTACGAAAATCAGATCCCTCAAAGCCCAAATTATTTTATTCTGACAAGACTCTAGACTTGGCTGATGAAGTGAAGATTCACTAAGCAGACTTGTGTGAAACATGAAAGCTGTGATCCAAGACCTGGCACTGGCACTGCCTGATGCTGGTTCAGGTGTGTATTGCACAAGCCAGGAACCACGTAAGAGTCATCAGGGAAGAACCATTTGGGTTCTGCTGAGATGCATCAGGCCTGATCTTACTTCAAATCAGACAGAATTGAAATAGTTCTGTATGAGAGGAGGTGGGGAGAGGGGGCAGGCCCTTTTTATCTTTTTATTCCATTAACAATTTTATAGAAGATGATTATTCCATGTTTGTAACCACAAAGGAATTAGGGATATTCAATGGAATTCAACAGGATATCTAACGCAAAAAATACTTTTTAACATAAAGTTCTAGTAAATTACATAATTTATTGCCACTAAATTCTGTGGAACTGCAATGTATAAAAGGGATGGGAGAAATCAGATAACTTCATGGATGGCAGTTCCACGGTGCCTCATACATTGGCATGAACAGAAATCCTGATCCACAGATTGCCAAGAGCTGGACACCCACCAGGAAATGATCCTTGTGTCCTGCTGAGGTCTGTGCCCCCCCAAACCCCAGAGAAAGCCCTTCCTCCTCCATCACTTTACACTGACAGCACATTCAGTGAGTGTAACAGAACGTGTCACTTCACAACTGACACATCAGAGCCCCAAGGTTCAGGTTGGACATCAGAAGAACTTCTCCCTGGAAAGGGTGGCTGGCAGCAGAAGGGGCTCCCCAGGGAGGTGGAGTCACTGTCCCTGGAGTTCGAGAAATGCCTGGATGTGGCACTCAGTGCTCTGGTCTAGTGACAAAGTGGGGATTGGCCAGAGCTT